TAGATCAACTCCGCGAATTCTTTTATCGAGGCGATTAACAGGGTTTCGATATTCCTGTCGGCATACACAGAATGTCTGGGGTTTTTGAAATGTTCATTTCCACCATCAGCGTTCGGGTCATTCCGTTGTGTACTTGAATGTTAACGGATCGTTTGAGTGACGTAAACATCAAAAAAAAAACTTTCAGCCGCAATAAACCTGGATTATGTAGTTTCCATGAGAAAATGTCATTTTACGTAATAAATGTTTTTTAGGTGGATAAAAACTTTACTGGTTTTTTTTTCTGCGACCTAAACTATTCTTAACGAACATAAAAACTAAAGGTCCGTTTACACTGCCAGTCAATTTACAAGGACTTGGAAGCTTTCGACTTTCCTCGTTATATCATTTTTGGGTGGTCGAGTGGTCTAACGCCTGCACTTCAGACCAGAAGGTCTGTAATGTAGTCAAGTGTGGTGTTTTCGATCACCATCGTGTACTTGACAAGGGGTAGGGTCGCCTGTCCAACCTCGTGGGTTTTCTCCGGATGCTCCGGTTTTCTCCCACTGCTAAAAATCCCAACGCGCAAGCTAATCTACTAATTGAAATAAAATTGTACCATATACTAGTCCCGAAATGATCTAGTTTGTGTCGAGTGGGCGTTAACTCTCTCTCTCTCTCTCTCTCTCTCTCTCTCGCCGCCGTCCGTAGCCACCCCCCCCACACACAAAACACATTGCATGGCGTATGCCCGCTTTTATTATCCAAGTCGGTGCAGAAAATTAGGGCCCCGTTTAATTTATTTTTTTGTTTGTTTGTTTTTTTTTGGGGGGGGGGGGGAATAGGATGGGCGAATGGTTAGCACGTGCGCGCTGTATCATCATAAGGTCTGGCATTGAGTCAACTGGCGTGGTTTCGATTCCCCGGTTGTTATATCCCATCGCTCTCTCTCTCTCTCTCTCTCTCTCTCTCATTTTATTTAACTGTTGTACAAAGAACTACTGAAACCCTTCAAACGGCAGGAGATTATATTTATCATTTCAAAATAAGATAGTTTAGCTATGTGAATTGAACTATCTCACCGGTATAAAACACGCACAGAATATCTCCGCTTCTCAACAAGCTGTTTTATTTGCCACTTGAAAACCACCCAAAATATTTTAGCTTCTTTTTGATACGCGTCCAGAATTTATAGAACGCCTGTCAAATGTGCAGAAATTTGACATCATGAAAATATTCGATTCATCTTTTGTCAAAGTGTTTTATAAAAAAACAACCCAGACATTGTGTGGTGACTTATTCGAGAAGATGTAAATGTGAATTTGTACAATTTAAGCGCGGGTCCGGTTTTTTCTTATGTAGGTGGTAAAAAGCGGGCAGTCCGGAAAGTCATGCACCATTGACTTTTGCGGAGAATATATAAAAAATGGACCATTTGTCTTGGATAAAAAATACTCTTATATTTCAGGGTGGCCGCTAATTGTGCATGATGAACAAAACCCAGGGAGTGTGGTGGGGGTGGGGGTGGGAGGCTTCTCCCCAAGTTTTGTGTAGAATGACATGTTAAACATACATTATTCAAGAGCTAAATCTGCCAATTGCAGGTCTTTCTTTAGGCCTGAAATGTTATATAAATTATTAATTAAACATTAATGAACTTACCCTCACGTACGAAAATTAAATGGTAGCTGGCTTTTTTTTCGCACGTATACAGTGAATGGCCATTTTGCTCAGTAATCCCAGCCAGAATTTGGCTATTTTTTTTAAAATTGCCTTAAGGTTTTAAATTTTTGTTTAGAACTGAAATAAATTAACTTTTAGTCAATCCCCACACTAAAAACATTAACAGAATTGATTGTGTATATCTGAAATAGACACGACCGAAGCACAAAATAGTGCCAATATGCCGACGTCAAATCTAGAGTTGTAGATGATGTTATTTTTGTGAAAAATCATTGGAAGAAGCGATAAGACGTTCTGTACGGGTTATACAGTCCTAAAGGCTGCAAGAAGGCTATTGATTACAATGTAACATTGTGTCTTGTAATGTTGATAATGATCATAATGATGGTGTTTACATTTGTTTGTTGACGTGACCTCATGACCTGTGACGTTTAGATAACGTCATATGGATATCATGGCTATTCACTGTGTCAGAGTCACTTCTCTGCAGGTAGGGTGAGTCTGTCGTTCAGATTGGAACTTACCCAGACCATAATCAACTCTCGATTTAATCGTTAGCCTGCGATATTTACAGGATTAGGATCCGATTTGCTGCTCAACTTTCATTCATGATTAAATCATGAAATGGATAATCGAGACTATGTTTTTTATCGTACCGACTTTAGTAATGATGATAGGGGCTAGGCCTAAAATTCAAAAGCTAATATCTTGATTCAGAGTGGATCAATTGGACTGAAATTTTCATCAAATTCCCTTCACATTATCTAGTTTTTAACTATTATAGTGAGAACTGCCAGCTCTTTATCTAATCTCCCATAATTTATCTCTAATAGAGACGTTTGAATGCATATTTTATGCCATGGTATAATATTGTGAGCAATATGATTATGAAGTAATAACTAGTGTTATAATTCTCTGGGATAGCGGTCCGAGTGGAGACTTCGGAGGGTGGGGAGGGGGGTGTCCATTAGCTGATAAATAAGCAAGTCGGGTGTTCGGGCATCATCAAAAGAAGGTCTGATTTCGCTTTAGCTCCGTATATATCTTATCAAGGCTGTTATAAAACTCACAGTCGTTGCTTCAGGGACATGCTGTTCGGGGGGTGGGGGGGTCTACGATATCACCCTAGGTAGACTTTACCGGAGTTTTACGTCCACTTCCACCAAGGGTGATATCGTTGTTCTTAGTGTTTTAACGTCCGCTTCCACCGAAGGTGATATCGCAGACAGGTCTTTCATTTTTATTATCTTAGCGTGTGCGCAGGGGTCTTTCCTGTGGGAGGAAACCGGAGTACCCGAAGTAACACCCCGAGGTTGAGAAGGCGCCTCTATCTGTCTATCTCCAAGCCACATACGCTCACACCAGCGATCGAAACCCCAACCGCAAGCCACATACGCTCACACCAGCGATCGAAACCCACAGCCGCAAGCCAGAGGTGACCGGCCAGCTGGAGGTCGAACCGCGGCACGCTAGACCATTAGGCCATCCCATCCCATCATAGACAAGGGCAGACTTTATCGTGTTCGGGGAGCTCTTAAACTCTGCGTGTGTTCTACATAAAGAAAGAAAATCGGATATAGCTGAACGTTAGTTGTTTGTTGATTGTTGATCGGGTCGTGAGTACATATTGAAGATGTGTGATGTTTTTGTTGACGGAGAAGCCTGGTTTTATTAAAGACTTTAATACAATCAATATTCACCTGGATACAGGTGTATTGTTAATCACTATATATACACCTGGCAGGTTTTGACTAGCGCCATTAACAGCACTATGTATATAGTTTTATTATTACAAGGTGCTGTTTAACAACAAGAAAGTCCCGATTTCGATCCTGGTGTTGGCCTAGAACGTTTTAAGCTCGGTCTCCCCAATCTCGGCCCTAGAGATAACATTACCCTGATAAAAATCAGCGGCCATTAATCAGCGTGAAATCGGTTCCTAAGCTCCATCCCACCAGTGGCCCCTGATTGGCAGGATTTGTTAGAATGAAATGCTGCCGATTTCTCGACAATTAGGCATCGGTTCGTTACTCGAAAACAGCCGATTTGATGACTTACCGGGAACTATTTTTAGCGCACAATGGGAGTCATTCGGCTAAATACGTGAAATTTCTGAAGAAACGCGAGTTTGAGCCGCCATCTTGGATCTTTGTGAAGCGACCGACGGAAGTATACATCACGTGACACTCACAATGGCCGACGTATTTCCGGTAAGTTTTCCCTTGTCAGTGGTGCAGTAAGGAAGGCGACTAGTCGTTCCCGGTGTTGGTCTAGAAAGTTTTAAGACAATGTATTTCCGTTTTTCGGGCACAAACATCAAAGAATGAGGAACATTAAGTTGTTTTTTTCTTAATATATTGTAAATTTACATTGTTGTGTAATTATGTAATTAATAAAAACAAAAAATAAACAACCATCACAACTTTATGGAAAATTCGTTTTAATTATTGATTGATTCATTCTGAAAATTTCGTACAAAACTTGGCCTCAATTCGATGAAGAGTATGCTGAAACGTTATCGCACACTGATGCAACGCGCACTCGTTAAACATAGACAACGAGAAGTGTGAACCATATTATAAATACAAATTAACATGTTAGTCCCAAAATGATCGAAGTATTGGATTGACGAGGCATTAAACCCCATTCCATTCCATTCCAAAATATATAGGAATGGTGTATTAACCTTGTCTCAAAATTTCAGCTCAAAACATTGAGTCGTTTGGACGTGAACGTCAAAACTGCTTATCCGGACACGTAACTCTTTTAAGATTTCGGGTCAATTTTTTCGTTGGGTGACCTGATAATCGATTCCCGTTTCTTGAGATCTATAAAGTGAATGACCCATGTGCTGTACTTGATAGTGGACGGTAAATGTCACCTACACATTATTTTTATATAAAAAAAAGGTCTGGTTTTATCCAGACGCCGCATAATACAGTTTGGGACACCGTTCTCCATTTCCAGATGAAGACTGACGGGTTTAAGTGGTTTGCAAACGTATCACAAATATTGAGTTACTTGCTCGGCCCATAGGTAGAGCGTTTTAAGGCATTTTAACACAAAATTAAGCTGTTTTATTCTCCCAAAAAATATCGGGATTGCCCCTTTAAGCCAACCTAAACTGTCGCGCGTCAAGAGGCCCGCAAAAGTCAGCGACTCTAATGTATCTATTAACACAACGATGTTGTTTATTATTCCAGGTATTGTAATGTTAACTGGTCTAACATCCAGGTGTCCAGAAGATTTTATAACGATGTTGTTTATTATTCTAGTTATTGTAATGTTACCTGGTCTAACATTAGAAGATATTATAAAGATGTTGTTTATTATTCCAGGTATTATAATGTTACCTGTTCTAACATCCGGGTGTCCAGAAGATATTATAAAGAAAGCCCAGGATTGTTTTGCCGATTTATCGTCTGGTGTGACCCAACCAGATAAAGTTCTCGTGTCCGGCAACCTTCCCCTGGATTATCTTAAAATCAGAGAATATTGTGAAAAGTAAGTAAACCTAATACTCAGGAGAACTGCGCAACAAGACACAGACAGAACTAATGACAGCTCAATAAGATGTATAATCCCGGGCGTGTACGTTACAAGGTGTTGGGTTGCCTTCCTAACCTCGTGGATTTTCACCTGGTCCCAATCTCATTAAAATACAGATCTACATTTCGTCTCGGTTTTTTTTTTACATTTTCGATGGTCTACACTACATGAAGATCTCACCAGTTGTACTGGAAGGTCGCGTCAGGGTCGTACGCGCGGCTTTTGACCTATGACGCCAGACATTGATTAATCAATCAGCGTTGACGTTCTAGTGGTTTACCCACATTTCCGTGTATCGCACGCCAAGAAATCGCCGTATCAAATGGTTTCATTGGCTAATCCTGCACTTCAACCAAACCGCCGGTAATATAACAACTCTTCCAGATTCCAGTGTAGTAAAGACAAGTAAAACGAAATTTTGAACTATAAAAAACGAAAGGAAACAGGATCTGTTTTGATCAGATTGACCGGGTCCCCTTACTGTTAAAGTAAAGAGCCCAGCGCTCAAGCCAATTATTGGAATTAAGATATACAATATGTTTTACCTGAAATGCCCCCCCCGCCCCCGCACTCCTTCCCACTTTACTATCAATCAAGAGACTAATAAAAAAAAACATCACCACGGGGATCACGTGGCTAAGTGGGTAAGACGCTGGCTCGCTAGCCTGGTGGTCGGGTGTTCGATCCCTGCATTGGCCGAGAAAGTTCCTCCCGATTTTCCATCGTGGTTTCCCCTTGTCAGTGATGCAGGACGGAGAACCTGACAAGGACAGCTGTCTAGTCGTTCGGATGGGACGGAAAACCGAGGTCCCGTGTACACATTGGCGTGCACGTAAAAGATCCCTTGGAAGTCGGAATTCGACTGCCCGGGCAAAATTTCCGTAATAGCACACTCTTTGGCGTATGCCCGTCTTCATTATCCCAGGTTAGGAACAGAACAGTAGGACGTTAAACCCCATTTCATTTCATGTTCAACATTTTACTTTGAACTAAATTAAAGATGCCTGCCGCCTTTAAATTTTAAAATGGTAACAGCCGATGATTGATCCGGTAAATTTGAGGACGTTTTGAACAATCTTGAGTCTTGACTGTGTACTTTGAATTCTTTTGGATGTTGTTTAACTAAACTTCATATTGAATCGTTTATTTAAAGATAATCTATTCACTAAATTGATGTAAAAAGCAAGAAAATTTGTGTAGAGTGTTTTATAGAGTGTGGTTACATTATTCGACACAGAAACTCGATATATTTTTTTTTACCGCAGAAAAACATGAAGGTCTGATTTTTACAGGATATCGTATCCTTTCTCCATTTGTTAAGATGCGGAATGGGGTTTAACGTCTCCTCCTCACATTACTTGGGTCATTTTGAGATCAACATATTAGTGGTCACGTGTGCAACAATGCCCTGAGAGTGGGGTGTCGAATGGTTAGCGCGTGCGCGTTGTATCATAAAGTCTGTCATTGAGTCAACTGACGGGGTTTCGATTCCCCGGTTGTACATGTACGTGACAAGGAATTGGGTCGTCTGTCCAACCTCGTGGGTTTTTTGCCGGTCCTCCGGTTTCCTCCTACTGCTAAAGATCCCTATGCGCAAGCGAATTATTGAAATAAAATTGAACAATATATTAGTCCCGAAATGACCTAGTTTGTGTTAAGTGGCCGTTAAATCCCATTTCTCTCTCTTTATGTTCTTTCTTTGAGAGAGAGAGAGAGAGAGAGAGAGAGAGGGGGGGGGGGTCGAAAGCGAAATACAGAGACGAAGGCCCGTAGCAAGAACCCATCTGAAATATAAATTGATTAATAAGATGCTTCGTTTCCCTTAATCACGATAGCACATTTATATGACGTTTTTATTGTGTTACAGAGATGGTCATATGAATCGTTTTCTAGTGTGTGTGGATAGTCTCTTACAACAATGTAATAATAAAACAGGTTCAGAGGTTCTTCATCAACTTATAAACCCAGATAAAGTCAGGTCCAGTGTTCCTCATCTCTGTGAAAATATGGACGGTAAGTCCAAATATTCAACTTTTTACCACAAACTTAGTAATTTATGGACGCCATGGTGGGTCACTTACCACGATTTTAAATATTGGTGAACGTTCCTTGTGAGGTCACAGCGTGGTTGTCCCATGTCAATCGCACAGGACGGGGGCTGGCACTGAGAGGGTGTCTTAATTGTTGGGATAGCATAAAAAAATAACTATTGATTGTTGGCAAAATTTCCACTGCATGGCGAATGCCTGTCTTCATTAACCTGGGCCCGATTCCTAGAAAATTCTTAAGCACGTTCTTGTACTTAGATTTAAGTAGACTTTGCATTTAAGTAAACTTACCTTATTTTGTGTTCCCAGAAAATTCTTAAGAACTTTCTTGTGCTTAGATTTTAAGTAGACTTCATTGTAAGCACGAGAACATTATTATGCGTTCCAAGAAAAAACTTAAGCACAACTTCGTTCTTAAACATAGTCAATCTAAGCACAAGTCCCAAGCAAGGTATAGGGCTTGCTTACCAACCTTAAGTCTGTTTCTGCTTCGAAAAGATGGCTGACCGTAGAGTTATTCGACAGCATTTCCGACACCGTTTGATACCAAAGAGACAATTACAAGACAGAGAAAGTCCTTCTCCAGAAGAAATTTAAAATTAAGAATGCTATAGAAAATTTCGCTTCTAGGCCTACCCTGAAACCATTTTATTTATTTGCCAATTAGTATACAAACACACAGGCTACTTTAAGATCAGGCGCGCTCATAATTATTCAGTTAGTTTGTATGTGTCTGCGTTTTTTTTTTATCTTGTGGCACATTTTATATGTGAATAGTGGACATGTCAAATGCATCGAAATGAACCATATATATATATATATATATATATATATATATATGACGTCAATGAAGCAGACGACAAATTTTAGGACGTAATTCGCATACCAAAGTTGTTTTTATGACGTTAAAGAGCATCGTAGTCTCAGTCTATGGTAAACTTTACCAGTCACAATGTGCTTAGATTTATACTTGATTTGTGCTTTCGTAAGAATGGTCTTGAAAATTTTCTAGGGACGGTATTTTTATAAGTTTCTTACGTAAGAAAAAGTGAAGCATGACTTTGTGCTTACTTTAAGAATTTCCTAGGAACCGGGCTTGGTAAAGGTGTTGATGCATTCTGCACACAGAGATCCATCATACTTCATACTTTGAGAATAGATCTCGGCCCTAAATGGCCGCCATGTCCAAAAATTAGTATACTGTTTTGTAAGGTGGTTCTACTCCGTTTCACACGTGTCATACACACAATGACTGAATAAAAAATTTGAATTTTATTAAATGGAAGCAGAATAAATACTTAACAAAATTCTCGAAGTATACGTAGTGTTTTCTGCTAAATTCGTCGATTTAGGACTTAAAATGTCGGTCAACTAGCTTAGTGTCTGTTTTCAAGCGGAGCTAACTGTAGACAGACCGCCTACGTTTAGTACGAGTGTTGATGCTACCAAGGATGAAGCGAGAAATCAGTGCAGGCACTTCAAAGTTTTTCATATCTATTGGAGAATGTTTAAAATCAATGACGATGATCGCGGTTTTATTCTGCTCTACATCATTTCTGTGGTTTTATTTTGTCTTCGACAACGTTTGGGCACATGGGAACTTATATGAATAAGAGGGTCGTTAATTCTGCTCTACATCAGTTCAATGGTTATATTTAGTCTATCTTCAACAATGTTTACATGTAGGTGTACTCGACCTTATATGAATAGGCGGGGGGGGGGGGTCGTTAATGTTTCATCCAAAATTACCCTGGAATAATGACCGATATATTATAGTCAGAAAAACATCCGGGCCGAAAATAAATTATTTTTACTCGAAAAATCGTATCTCCCGTCCAGGCACGTTGGGTGGTGGAACGGGGGTTGGGGCAGCTACAGACGCCCACGACCCCCACACCACCGCCTAATAGCCTCTATCATGCGGTTACTTATTTTGTCTCGTGTTCAGCTTTATATTTTATCAGAGATTCTGTATCGTGCCAGCAAGATGTCAATATTATCTCCTAAAGTTAACTAAATGTTGATTTATCAAATATTTCAGAAATAGAAGCCAATGCTGAGTGCATGAATAAACAAATGAACAAACCAAGTGAATGCAAACTAGCAGCGTATGACCTCATCAGGCGAGGAATGGCGGAAACAACCGGAAACTTCAGTGCTATGTTTAATATTCAATGCAGGTATTTATATAATTCAACTACAACATCTGTCTGTTGTTTGAATGTTCGGGCTTCTGTCGATTTGACACATAAAAAACCCCAGACATTTATAATCCGATAAACTAACACATTGACGATTGCAACCAGACATGTCAGGACTTTCCCACACAAACATTATAATGTCAAATTCAAATGGCCGATAAGTTTTCAGCCAGTCACAGCGCATGATGGAAAATGACGTCACAAGAGAGCCCCGTAAAAGCCTCTATATAGCAAATAAGTTGCATTATGAAATAAAATGAATTTAGAGTGTAAACATGCATTATGCAAGAGATAAATCTGCCTATTGCAGGTCTTTCTTTAGGCCTTAAATGTTATCTGAATTGTTAATTAGGCATTAATTAACTTATCAAGACCATAATCAACGCTCGATGCCATCGCTAGCCTGCGATATTTAGTAGATTTGAATACGTTTTGTGATGGATGATTTAATTAAAACTGGATAATCGATACTTTGTTTATTATCGTACCAACGGCAGTAAGGGCGGTCGAGGCTAGCCTAAAATTGAATCGTTAATATCTCGGTTCAGAGTGAAGCAATTTGAGTGAATTTTTCAGCATATTCTGTTTTCATTATCCATAGCGAGAACTGTCAGCTCTTTATCCAATCTTACCTCATGCCCCTTTAGCACCCTAATTTTTCTGCACCAACGGGTTTAATGAAGGCAGATTCTGTGTGGTCAGCGACACCACAACCTACTTTTACGTGCACGCCAACGTGTTCACGGGACTTCGCTTTTTCGTCCCATTTGAAAGACTATGCGCCGTTCCTTGTCTTTCCTTTCGCGCTGCGCGACTTACGAAATAAACAAAACGTAAAAATAATGTTAATCTTTGAAAGGCCTTTAGAGCAATATACAAAAACACATACTTATGGAAAAAAAACAGCTACTTATTTATTTGGGCGACGTTTCGAAGAGTATTCTCTCAAGCTGTTTTCACTTTTATTTTTCAGGTTTTTCAGTGTTTTAGCTGAATGTCAAAGAACGGCGGTAGCTGACAACTGTGGACGTAAACTGGGCGATCTTCACGCCAACTTTCTGTTATCTTTTGTGCCCAACACGTGCGCTGGTGAAGGCTTGGCCGACATTTTGCTTCCACAGTTAAAGAACGGACAGGACTTCAACAGAAAACCGGAAGATGGTGAAACGCGACCTGAATTAAGAAATATCAAACTGAAAAATGTCTTACCCACGGATGAGCAAAAAGATGAGATAAAAACTTTGCCACCAGTCCCGTTGGAAAATAGCGGGAAATTTGATAAGACGCCTGGTCGACCGTCGCGTTCGAAAAACACCGGTCAGAGCATCGACACAACAGGGAGTTCAGCCAATAGTGTAACTACAAAAAATGGACTTTCGCATGTTGTTTACGCTCTTTTTATTTTATATACTTTTGTCAAAGTTGTCTAAAATTAATTGTACACCTACTTTACCATATGTCCCTGTGGGAAGACCAAATTGACATTTATTTAATAAAGTTAACTGTAAATATTCATCCAGGCAATAACAAAGGCGGAAAACTGGTTGGTGTTATCTCCCCTTATTGACTCGTTATGATGACCGTCGCTGGGGTTAGAGACGGTCGGACATGAGTCAGTTTGCTCTTGATTTATTATTATTTCCACCTGGATATTGAACATGTTTAATTATTATATTGTTAATTGGTTAGAAATGGTCGTGACTTGTGGTACAATTAAAATACTGTCAGGTGACCAATCTTTGGGGGGGGGGGGGGTAAGGCGTGCGCACTGCATCACCAGGTCGCCTGTCCAACCTCGTGGGTTTTCTCCGGATCCTCCGGTTTTTCCCCTCTGCTAAAGGCCGCTACGCACAAGAAATTTATTGAAATAAAATTGAACCGTATGTTAGTCCCGAAATGACATAGTTTTGTGTCGAGTGGACGTTAAACCCCATTTCTCTCTATTTCTCCAACCTTTTCGGCCCTGTAAGAAGGAAATAAGAGCCCTCCGTATTTAATTCTTTTGGTCTTCTGTTTATTCAATGTGTTCTTGTACTTCTCGATATTCAATTATTTTCCATGTTTTGTATCATATATTTATTTCCATTTTTAAAATATATTATCAACTTTCAATGCATATATTGTTCCCGAAAAAACCCAATTTTTTTTATACGCCTAGGAATAGGTGCGATCGTATGTTATCGTGCGTTGGTCCGTCCGTCCACACTTGTACCCATTCTACATAGTTAAAGATGGGTTATGTAAGAGGGGGGGGTCACGGTGGCTAAGTGGGTAAGGCGCTGGCTCGCTAGCCTGGGGGTCGGGTGTTCGATCCCTGCATTGGCCGAGAAAGTTCATCCAGATTTTCCGGCGTGGTTTCCCCTTGTCAGTGATTCAGGACGGAGGGCCTGACAAGGACAGCTGTCTAGTCATTCGGATGAGACGAAAAAACCGAGGTCCCGTGTACACATTGGCGTGCACATAAAAGATCCCTAGACAGTTGGAATTCGATATAAGAGTAGGCCGTAGTGCCGCTGTCCGGGCAAAATTTCCCTCATAGCACACTGTATGGCGTATGCCCGTCTTAATTAGCCCAGTTCGGAGCAAAACAGTAGGACGTTAAACCCCATTTCATGTTATGTAAGAGCTAAATCTGCCTACTGTATGGCCTAATATGTTATAAAAATTATTAATTAGATAATAAATTCACATGACAAGCCCATAATCAACCCTCTAGAACATCGGATGGTCACGATTTTCAATGGATTGAAACACCAACGCCATTTAATAATTTAATTCAAAACTGGATAATCGAGACTTTGTTTATTATCTTAACAATTGTACTTGGCAATCGAGACTATATTGTGAATACTTCAAAGCCCGTTTAACTTGGCTCAGAAACGAGTAATTTGACCGAAAATTTCAGTATATTCATTTTTCATTATCTATTTTTAAACTATTCATCTAAATGATACATAATGCACTTTGTACTCAAATTGTCAAAAGTAATTTGCACTGCTTAAGGATGGCCCCTATTGATTTTAAGCCTTACCCCAAACGTTTTTCCTGACATAGGCGTAGGGGGCCAATCTCAATTGGGCGGGTGAGGGGGGGGGCTATTTGCCCGAATATTTTCATTGTGTCAAGTGAACCCCAACTCTCTCTTTCTCTCTCTCTCTCTCCCTCTCTCTGTCTCTCTCTCTACTTCACCACGCCCACCATCGCGGGGACAAATAAGAGAGATCAATTAGATAAAGCTTGCATAGCGGGCGCGGACGACAAAGCTGCTAGTGGGATTCTATTGCCTTGCCTGGCAACCTATGTTTGTTATTGTAATTCCTTGTGAAAAAAACCCAACTTAACCCATATTTTAGTTTGTTCTTAAAGACAAGTTAGACCCAGGACCGGAATAAAGCAAGGTTTTTAGGGGCTGCATCCCAGCGGTTTCCACCAGTGGAGGGGCCTCCTGTGATCAAATCAAAAGATATTTCATTTGAGTACGGTACTCAAAATTGTCAGTTAATTTTAAAAATCAATTCAACTTTTCTTTTGTTTTTTTTTTACCGTTTGAAAATATCACTAGGGCCGGATCAAGAACAATAGAGGCCCTTAGCACTTAACAAATTTTGGTATGGTCAATTTCAAATATAAACAATAATTAACTATAAAATAAATTTGAAGAGTCCTGGGGAAGAACAGAATTTTGGACGAGAATGCATGACGCGAACAGAACAACGAGTGGGTTTAATTACAACTTCAAAATGTTGTTTAGTACGAATCATAATTACCAGTACAACAACTGACTTCCACTTTTTAGCCAAATTAAGGTCAAATAAAGGGTACGATGGGCGTATTTGTCCGGGAGGCCATTTCAGAAGGGCCTTGCTTCGATGTGACTCCGATCGTTTTTACCTGAAATTGGTTGTTCCACAGAAAGCTTATAATACAAGTTGCTACCAGATGGCGCCATTAACTGGGGTTCATTGAAAAAGTGACTTAGATCGTTCTTCTCCTGGGCTCTTCATTTGTATTTTTTAAAATGAGGTTTTATACACTTCATGATTAATTGAGACAAAGCAGGCAACAGTAAGACAGGAGAAAATCAATAAAAAGCTAATTAAAATATATTATAAATTTGTCAACTAACAAAACAGATGGCTGTCTCCCCCCCCCCTCCTCCTCTCAATGATGCCCTAAGCACGTGCTTATATTGCTTAATGTTTAATTCAGCCCTGGACCTCACGGTACCTTTAGCTCAGGGTCCTGTTATTTGTATCACTTCTCGGGGCTGCTGTGGTTCAGTGAGTATAACAGCTCGCTAACCCGGAGTTCCAGTGTTCGGTCACGGTGTTGGGTTCCCTTTTTCAGCGGTGCAGGGTGGAGGGTCTGGCATGGCACAACGTATAGTCTTTCGGATGGGACCGAGGAACCGTATACACACAGAATTCTATATAAGAGTACTAGTAGGCCGTGGAACAACGTTGAACGCCATTTCATTTCATTTGAACCAGTCAACTTTCCTTGTCAGTCCCACAGGCCCGATTCCTGACTAAACGTACATGCAGAACCGGATTATACAGGCCGGGACATTTTAACAGGCCTCATCAATGACAACATGGTACCGGGCACAGCTGGGATATGTGTGAAATAGCTTTCCGCTTCCACTGAAGTGATATTGGGCCGGGACATTTTAACGGGCCTTATAAATGATAACTTGGTACTCGGCACAGCTGGGACATTTTAACAGACCTCCTCAATGACAGCCGAGACAATTTCACAGGCCTCATCACTGACGACTTGGAACTAGACCCAGTTGGGTCATTTTAACAGGCCTCATCAATGGCAACATGGAACTGGACCCAGTCGGGACATTTTAACAGGCCTTATCAATGACAGCTGGAACAATTTCACAGGCCCAATCAATGGCAACATGGAACTGGACACAGTCGGGATATTTTTTAAAACAGGCCTTATCAATGACAGCTGGGACAATTTCACAGGCCCAATCAATGGCAACATGGAACTGGACACAGTCGGGATATTTTTTAAAACAGGCCTCATCAATGACAGCTGGGACAATTTCACAGGCCTAATCAATGACAACATGGAACTGGACCCAGTCGGGTCATTATAGAAATCAATGACAGCTTGGACAATTAACAGCCTTCTAATTCCATTGTAATAAACAAATGAAATAAGTAAACAAAATAGACAAGTGTTTAAGTTGTGTTTTAGTTTAATAAACACGGTACATATATATATATATTAACAAATAATAATTAACACTAATTGATCCTAATTAACAAAATATTCAATCTAATTGCTAATACAGACATGCTAATCAATGATAACATCAGACAATAATAAAGCACCTTTAACTCTTCTTACACAGCACTTGAATTCAGTGCCCTGAAATTATGGCTGTTTGCTTTGTTGAATGTACCAGATTCCTGGGGTCCCTGTTTTGAATTCTACATCATAATGTATTTTTTTTAAACTTGAAGAACAAATGAACATTGTTCGACTGACTTGAAGAAATAAAGGATCTCATCTAAATTAGATTTGAACAGAGTTTATCTATTCTTTTACGAGCAAAATGGCATCCATTTGCAGTGTGAACTCGGGCCAGGTCAATTTGGGAAGATGTCAGCCTGGTTGGGAAGGTTATTTCCATATAAATATGGATAATTTATCAATGGGGAATTGTGGATAAATATGGATAATTTATCAATGGGGAATTGTGGATAAATATGGATAATTTATCAATGGGGAATTCTGGATGAGTGTTTGTGTTATGGTTACCTATGCCTACCCCTAACGCGAAACCCCTTGAGGCAAATTTCCAACCTCCCCCCACCTGCCTAAAAATAGCCTCTCCCTAGAAGAAATGACCTAATTAGTAAAATATTAAATGGACTAATTACAATGTCATTAATAAAATATTGAACACTATCAAATGATACAATGATGTTGTGATCATATGATGAAGACAATGAACAAGGAATTAATGCTTACATTTAAATATTGCTAAAAAATGCTAAAACTTTTGGCAACATTGATAAAAGTGAGACATTACCTTTAAAAAGTTTTAAGCAATTACCTCAAATTCATGCATCATTGTCCATAAAACTATAAATGGGAATATAACCTATTATTGTTAAACAACATTAAGAGAATACATCATGCAATGTAACCAGGCCCCCATTTCACCAAGCATTCTCAGACTTAAGTTAAGAATTTACTAAAAATTGTTTGCCTTATTTTAACTAAAATATAGCCCTTTATAAAACGTTTGTTGTTTTAATGTATCAAATACATCAATAAGAAATTATTGCAAAGTTAAGTAAATTCTTCACTTAAATCTGAGAATGCATTGTGAACTTGGGGCCAGGGCTTTACTTTACGACAAACTTAAATGTAGTAAAATTCATTGTAACTGTTTCCATAGTAACTAAAATTTGATTTTTAATTTGGTTTTAATCTGGGTTGGTCTACAGTCTACACTACATGAGGATCTAACTACATCCTTTATCAAATCTCTGTTCTTCTTGGGGATGCTCGATTGAACGTTCCGGAATTGAAGTCAGTCAAACCCCAAAATAGCGACAATCGAGTGAAAATGGGATTTTGGGCTAGAACGCATGCGCTGACTGCATGAGAAAATATCTCAACCAACCATGTCAGCTAAAACATATTCATTAGGTTTAATTACGTCACGATTCTACTCACGCCACATCCGTTGCCGGAAATGACAGAACTGTGACAGGACTGAATTCCGCATCACTTGATTGCAATTCTGTCAATTCGGAACGTTCTGGACTAACAATCGATCATCCCCTTTGTGTCACTACAATTGGTTCAAATCTTTATTCTGTTCATTTGAAAGGAGAAAGGTCAATTAAACACAAACTTGTAATAGATGTTGTTAGACCTCATTTTAGTTTATATTAAAACGAAACTGAAATGAAAAGTACATGGCTAGGAAATCTAACTACTTCTTTATCAATTATCTGTTCTTTTTAAAGCTTAATATCAGTGGTTTTGATTGGTTAAAATAATTGTTCCCAATGTCAAGTATCTGTTGATTGGCTAACGAAGGTGACATCATTAGCACAAATATCAATCTGATTAAATCACATATCCTATTTTGTTTCGTTTCGTTTTTTATAGTTCAAAATTTTGTTTTATTTGTCTTCACTACACTAGGATCTGGAGAAGGTGTTATATAACTCGCGTTCTGAATGATGTACGGGATTGGCCAATGAAACGGTCTGTTACAGGGAGTTCTTGGCGTAAAGTGCACAGAACTGTGAATATCCAACTAGAAACATTAACGCTGATTGATTAATCAAATATCTGACATCATCGGATCAAAGGCCACTCGTACGATCCCTGACGATACCTTCCACAACAACCGGTCAGATCTTCATGTAGTAGAGGCCATCAAAAGTATAAAACAAAAAAAACGAAACAAAATATCTGTGTTTTAATCAGATTGCATAAATATAAACAAAAATTGAAGGAAAACTACTATTGATTCAATCTGGTTAAAACAGATCCTATTTCGTTTCGTTTTTATAGTTCAAAATTTCGTTTTACTTGGGTTTACTACACTTGGATCTGGAAGAGTTGTTATTTAACTCATGTTCTGAATGGTGTCAGGGATAAGCCAATGAAACGGTCTGTTACGGCGACCTTTAGGCGGGTTTTGCACGGAACTGTGGGTAATCCACTAGTAACATCAATGTTGATTGGTTAATCAAATGTCTGACGTCATAGGTCATAAGTCGGTCTTTTGACTGACCCTGACGTGACCTATGGCTATAACTTGTCATGTCTTCATGTAGTGTAGGCCATCAAAAGTATAAAAAACGAAACGAAATATAGATCTGTATTTTAATCAAATTGCTATTGATTAATATCAAGATTGAAAGTTAAAATAAACTTTACGAGATTCAAGTTATCGTAATGAAGGACAATGAACATAAAACACAATGTAAGAAAAGTTTATATTAAATAAAGGTGTAGATGATGATGATAATGATGATGATGATGATGATGATGGTGGTAGACATATTTTAACGGATATATCGTTGACTTTCTTCTTGTTTATAAGGATCAGGATATTCCGTTAAATCTAACGTGAGAACGTTACTAATAATACAATCACCAATCTGAAATACAGAAACAATTGAATTATAGGAAATGAAATGAACTGGGGTTTAACGTCCTACTGTTATCCTACGACTGGGTTAATGAAGATGGGCAAACGCCATACAGTGTGCTATGAGAGAAATTTTTCATCCCGTCCGAATGACTATACAATATCCCTTACCAGGTCCTGCATGACTGACAAGTCTGGGATTGACATAGTCATAAAATGAAATGGGGTTTAACGTCCTACTGTTCTACTCAGACTGGGCTAATGAAGATGGGCAAACGCCATACAGTGTGCTATGAGAGAAATTTTTCATCCCGTCCGAATGACTATACAATATCCCTTACCAGGTCCTGCATGACTGACAAGAGGGAACCACGCCGGAAAATCCCGATGAATATGATCGACCAACACATGGATTGAACACAGGACCTCCAGATTAACGAGCTAACATTTTACTCACTGAGCCACCGTGGCACCCCAGAAACAATTGAACATTTAACACAAGTAAGAGAAGAAAAGAATGGGGTTTAACGTCCACTCGACACAAACTAGGTCATTTCGGGACTAACATATGGTTCAATTTTATTTCAATAATTCCCTTGCGCGTAGGGGGTTGTTAGCAGTGGGAGGAAACTGGATGATCCGCAGAAAACCCTCGAGGTTGGACATGCGACCCTATTTCTTGTCACGTACATTGTACAACTAGGGAATCAAAACCACGCCAGTTGACTCAATGACAGACCTCATGATACAGAATGCATGCGCTAACTATTCGGCCATCCACCGCCCTGACCCAACACAAGAGAGAAATGGGGTTCTATGTCCACTCCATACAAACTAGTTCATTTTGGGACTAACATATGGTGCAATATTGATATTTAAATAACTGTACTAGTCCTGGGTCATTATTTTAAAAGATTGATTTTTTGGTAATGAAGGGAGATAACTGAACTGGTGAGACAGTGTGTGACAACAATTTATTGATATATTTGAAGTAATAGGGGTATTCTTTTTACAATAACGGGGGTAGAATGTGAAAGATAGTATTTTCGTATTTTTTTTAAATGTTTTTTTTCTGGTTATAGAGCCAACGTCACACCCACAGAGCAATGAACCTAATAGTAATAAAGGAGCAAATGATATGCTACTTCAGTTATCTACACAATGAGTTTAACTTACCTCGGGATAAATGCCAATTAATGCGTCACCACGATTATAAAACTCTTCTTTTAAAGAAATAACAATACACTGAAAACTTTTATTGGATTGTTCACGAATGTACGCTGCTACCTGAAATATAACATAAAATAAGGAATTACACGGATGTATAACTTTAAATTTTATTAAAATTGTCTACTGTTGATTCTGTAACATGTCATTATAACATTGATAGATATATCTGTCGGGCTGTCTCTAGAATGGCCCGGAGTTCACAAAGTATTCTCTGACTTATGTTAAGAATTTACTCAACTTTCAGTAACTTAAACTGTTTATGAGAAATATCTTTGATCCAGAAACAAAAAAAATTGCACATAGTTTCTTATTGATGTATTTGATACATTAAAACCACAAAAGTTTTATAATGGGCTATATAATAGCTAAAATATGGTGAACAATTTTGAGTAAATTCTTAACTTAAGACTGAAAATGCTTTGTGAACTCAGGTCTTTGTGGAAAGTGCTCATCATGGAACCCAGTCAAGACACTAATGAACATCTACACAAAATTTGAATATTCCTCTTCAATTAAAAACAGAGTTATTGTGTTCCAGATGGACGAACAGGCAGATGGGCCTACCCCTGCTCGAGAAAAAAGCAGGAGACAATAACGTCTTACAAACACAAGAATGTCTTTTCGAAGAGAGAGAGAGAAATGGGGTTTAACGTCCACTCGACACAAACTAGGTCATTTCGGGACTAACATATGGTTTAATTTTATTTCAATAATTGGCTTGCGCATAATGGTTTTTAGCAGTGGGAGGAAACCGGAGGACCCGGAGAAAACCCACCCACGAGGTTGGACAGGCAACCCTACTCCTTGTCACGTACAACCAGGGATTTGAAACCACGCCAGTTGATTCAATGACAGGCCTTATGATACAGCACGCACGTGCTAACCATTCGGCCATCCAACCCCCCTCTTTTCGAAGACAATTAAGATAAAGTGAAGAATATAAAGATGAGTATATACCTTGCCTATATTGGTATTATCTAAAGCAGCATCAATCTCATCTAATACAAAAAATGGTGCTGGTTGATAACTGTAATAAAATATTAATAATTTAATAATCATCTCCACAAAAAAAATAAACCAAGTCTACACAATCGTAGATAATATTATCCTACAAGCAGTTTGCCTGGTGTTGCACAGGTAGAGTCGAAACCTGCAGTGCAATCCCACCAAGCCTACGTAACTCTTTCGACTCGAGCTGCCCGTATGCCTCATATTTAACAGTAAATGCAAAAACAGCGTTTAATTTGTTTCCTTAAAGTGGCAATGTGTCCAAGTCAGAATAATGTGTTGTCGTTAATTAGTCTGTTATAGTAAACATTGAATATGCATATTAATTTAGAATTTGTAACAATTTAAACTCTGGTAGTTGCAATATTGTTAAATAATTCCTATTGTTCATCCCTCAATAACATCACTTATTGCACAGAAACGTTATTTTATTTTCGTCGCCAATGAGTCTATATTGTCTTTGAAAGGCATTTAGTGAAAGTGATATATAATAACAGACAGCTTTATGGATGACATTCACTAGGTTTATTAACTGCAACGTTTCAATGAGGTTGGACGTTAAACTCCATTTCATTTCATTTCAATGAGGTTACTCTCACCATTATCAAGCAATGAGTCTATATAATCATACTAATTATTGAATATTAATTAAAAATTCTAACAATAGAATAAAGCCCATTGTTAATCTCTCCATATACAGCCACACGTCAACGTATAAATATACTTTACCTCTGTATAGAGAATAACAGAGCCAGAGCAGCAACAGTCTTTTCACCACCAGATAAATTATCCATGGGTCGGAAACGTTTACCTGGAGCCACACAATTATAATTTATACCATCTAAATATGGTTCTTCTGGATTTTCAGGACCTAATAAAGCTTGAGCACTCTGATTTCTAGATAAATTCTGTAATAGGGAAAATAACTTATTAATTACCGTGGTTCAGTAAGGAAGGCACTAGGACACATTGTCAAAAGTAACTTTTATCCAATAAGATCGAAAACTCTATTCTGTATTTGTTAGTAAAGCTTGCATGAAATGTGGGTGCATAAAAATCGTGAACACTTCAGCTGACTTGTGTAACTGCTATATACACAAAATCTGCACAATAACGTAGATAATTTATATAGACAATAACGAAGATAATTTATATAGATAATAACATAGATAATTTATATAGACAATAACGTAGATGATTTATATAGACAACAACGTAGATAATTTATATAGACAATAACGTAGATAATTTATATAGATAATAACGTAGATAATTTATATAGATAATAACGTAGATAATTTAAATACACAATAACGTAGATAACTTATATAGATAATAACATAAGATAATTTACCTTATAGACATCATCAATCTGATTTGAAACATGTTCAAAACATTTCATAAATCGATCGTATCTTTCTTTACGAATTTTTTCAAACGTTTGTTTTGCTCTCTTGGCTCTCTTCCTTGCCGTTTCAAATTCTTCCGATGTTTCGTTAAATCTAAACCGGACAACATCTAATCTGAAAAAATCAAAAAACATCTTGTTGAGAAAAATGCATAAATTATAAATTAAGACAGTGAGTACAATGGAATTAGAGAGAGAGAGATGGGGTTTAACGTCCACTTAACACAAACTTTGTCACTTCAGAACTAATATATGGTTCAGTTTGAATTCAATAATTTGCTTGTGCATAGGGGTCTTTAGCAGTGGGTTGAAACCGGAGGACCCAGAGAAAACCAACACGGTTGGACAGGATACATTAATAATTGATATTTTTATGGCGAGAATTTTTAGTCCTGTCGAAGACAAAGAAATAAAATGAAATGGGGTTTAACATCCTACTGTTCTGCTCCTATACTGGGCTAATGAACACGGGCATACGCCATACAGTGTGGTATGAGGAAAATAAAACTGTTTAATGTCATGATATTCATATGGATCAAAATAAAGACTAAAACAATTTAAGAGTGATAGGTTAGTTACTGAAGCAACAAAAAAAACATACAAAAATAGAATCGTAAAAAATGGATTTAGACGCTAGCCATTCAATACGCGAATCATGGGAAGGTGAATCGTGATGTCATAATCTATCCAACTTACTTTTCATTTGCTTTCATATTAGGTGCGTTTATTCTCTGTATTGTTGTATGCATATCAGAACACGCTTTCATTAACGTATCTAAAACTTTTTTAACATCATCATTATGATCCAACTGAAATATAATCAAATAATTATATAGTTACATCAATTACTTTATCAAGATATGTTCTCGTTATTATTAAACTAACCGTGGAATAACTCTGGATAGACAACCAGTATAAATTTTAGAAAGCCTGTAAAATACTAAGGGGGATACTCAATTTTACTTTGCCGATTGACAATCGAGTGATACTTGGGATTTCGGGCTACAATGTATAAGTAAATATCTCAACCAATCATGACAGCTGAAACATATTCGTTGGGTTTATTTACGTCACAATTCTACTCACACGACCATTGTTGTTGGGACTGACAGAACTAAGACATGACTCATCTTTGCGTCACTTGATTACAATTCTGTCAATTCGGAACGCAATCGAGCGTCCCCAAATTTTTTTAGATACATTATGTAAGATTTAGATAAAGAGCTGGCCATGCTTGCTATAATAGATAATACAAAATGAATATATTGAAAATTTCATTCAAATTACTTTACTCTGGGCCAAGTTATCACTGTTTATAGTTTTGACAAGATGTGTGCATTGATTGTTAATTACCGTAACCATGGTACTGGTATATTCGAGCCTTAGCTTCCCTTTTTAAATTAAATCATTAAATGGCCGAACTTACATCTTTATAATCGTCTGTTAATGAACTATAATCTATAACAATCTGAGCCTCTTTTTGATAAATAGCTTTAGCTCCCTGACTGGACATACTATCAACTGGGGTTTCGCTATCAGCGTGACTTGATGGTTCATTCTCCTGGGTAATATCATCCATATGTCCTCTCTTCATCGGTAAACGTATATCATCCATCTAGAAATAAAATACAACAACCCTATAAACTACATATCATTCACTAAATATTTTATCCGATTCTGGACATTTTTGTCAGGTTACGAACAAATTGATTGCTGTAATAGCAAAGGTGTAAAGGCAGTAGCAAGGACGACTGTTAGCGATTTCTAGTAAATTCAAAGATTCAATATAATATTTTTTACGGGTAAACTAATATGAATTTTTTACGGGTAAACTAATATGAATTACATTTACGTAAATTAATATGAATTACATCTTTTATGGTTAAACTAATACGAATTACATTGGCTTTTTTTTATGGTATACTGATATGAATTACATTTTTTACGGTAAACTAATATGAATTACATTATTTTTTTACGTAAATTAATATGAATTACATCTTTTATGGTTAAACTAATACGAATTACATTGGCTTTTTTTTTAATGGTATACTGATATGAATTACATTTTTTTACGGTAAACTAATATGAATTACATTATTTTTTTACGTAAATTAATATGAATTACATCTTTTATGGTTAAACTAATATGAATTACATTTTCTTTTACGGTAAACTAATATGAATTACATTTGGGGTTTTTTTTTACGGTAAACTAATATGAATTACATTTTTTATGGTAAACTAATATGAATTACATTTTTTTTTTTTTGGGGGGGGGGGGGGGGAAACTAATATGAATTACATTTTCTTTTACGATAAACTAATATGAATTACATTTTCTTTTACAATAATAAACTAATATGAATTACATTGGGTTTGGTTTTTTTACAGTAAACTAATATGTATTACATTTTTTAAAATTTCTTTATGGTTAACTAATATGAATAATTTTTACGGTAAACTAATAATATGAAAAACATTTTTTTTACAGTATGGTAAACTAATATGAATGACATTTTTTTTATGGTTAAACTAATATGAATTATTATTTTATTTTTTTTTACGGTAAACTAATATGAATTACAGTTTCTTCCGTTTCCCATTGCTTACCTTGCAGGTTTTTAGTAGACTGTGTCGATCAGCTCTACGTTGTTCCAGTTTAGTTTCTAGACCATTTATACCCTTCTGTGTAGCTGCTATTTCTTTGATTTGAACACCCAGACGTTTTCTGATTTCACTGATAGTACCATCGATATCATCGTTCTGAGATTTTGTTGTTATTTTCTGTTGTTTTAAGCGTTCTGTATTTTGCATGTCTTCATCCAAAACCTAGAAGAAATAAACAAGGATAAAATTAAACATGCATTATGCAAGAGCTAAATCTGATTATAGCAAGTCTTTATTTAGGCTTCAGAGGTCATAGAAATTATAAATTAGATCTTTATTTACACAACAAGCACAAAATCAACTCTGTAGACCCAGGGATGGCTTGGATTCAGCTTGGATTTAAACAGGATTTCGTTGACTGATTTAATTTTAAATGGTGTCGTGAGCGGAGATTAACCGTTACGTTAACTCTTTGAACCCAGGAGGCTGGATTTCTGGCTGTGACGTTGCCGGGTCTACTTACACCCACACAACATCTGTTGGTACGACCGGCACCAAAAGGTGTAATATTGGAGATCAGCCAAGGGTACTTTGTTGTGCCCACAATACGAACGACCAGTTCTTTTCACATGTTTATGTCCAACAATTGTTACCAAATGTTCAGGGACTCGGTGTGTAAAGTGCTAATCAATGTGGCCACCACCCTATAGTGACTCTACCATTTACAACCCACAGAGTGATTTAAATATGAACAAAACATTAGCTCATTACCAAAAATACTGAGATGTAGACAAGAGTAGTACTTTCCTAAGTTGACAAATTTTAACATAACATCCCCAGCTGGATAAAGGATAGCAATGAATCAACAAACCTTCATATGTTTAGCTTCTTCTTTCTTAACTTTTTCTAATTCTTTTTCATCATCTTGGACAGTTTTCTCCCATTTACAAACATTCTCTACAAAAACAATACAAATATTAACACACATTCTCTAAAAAAACCAGATCAGTTATTTTTTTATACTTGCTATAATGACGGGCTTCAGCCATCTTGCCATAAGACGATTACTCGTTGTCACCTAACTTGACTGAACATATACAGTGGGGGAGCAACCATCCAATTGTCTTAGATTTATCAACTGGACATTTTATAGGCTGATGCTGACATGTTTAAATCTTGCAAGTTTATTTAAAGCGAGAATTTTATATTTTCTAAGAAAGTCAAAACATAATTATTTCTATGTCTTTTGTTCAATAGGTTATCAACTCACTATTATATGATCATAGGTGCCATTCTCACACTTAAATCTCATTTACACAGGAAATAACAACACTATTACCTCCTTTGTTTTCGTAACGTAAAGGGAATATGCTGACAATTTTAGTCAAATTGATCCACCCTTAACAGAGATATCAGCGATTGAATTGCCGGCCTAGCCTTCATCATCATTACTAAAGTTGGAACGATAAAAAAACATAGTCTCGATTATCCATTTTTGGATTTCATCATCAATGAGCGTTAGAGCAGCAGATCTGATTCAAATCCAGTGAAAATCTGACGCATAAGATGGCATCGTGAGTTGATTATGGTCTAGATAAGTTAATTAATTAATAATTTAGATAACATTTCAGGCCTAAAGAAAGACCTAGCCTAGCCTCCATCATCATTACTAAAGTTGGTATGATAAAAAACTAAGTCACGATTATCCATTTTTGGATTTCATCGTGAAGGAGCATTAGAGCAGCGGATCGGATTCAAATCCAGTGAAAATCTGACGCATAAGATGGCATTGAGAGTTGATTATGGTCTGGAGAAGTTAATTAATAGTTGATATAACATTTCAGGCCTAAAGAAAGACCTGCTGTTGATTGATGTATGTTTAAATGTGTCATCAAATTTGACAGTTGTGAAGAAAATCAATATTTACCCCATGTATCCCGAGATTTTTCAAATTCAATTTGATTCTGGAGACGGAATTTTTGGTTTTCAAATTCCAATCGTTTCTTGGCTCTGTCTTGTTGAACTCTTAATTCTCTTTCCTCATATTGTCTGGAAAATAATTTAAAAAAAAAAGATATTTCATATTTAACATTTTTAAACCTTAATTTAACATCATCAATTTTTGAAATGCAAGAGTGTTACTGAAGATCGTTCATCTGAGCTTAACATGAGCAATTTTTTAAATGTAATTCCATAAACCTATACAATTTCCGCTAATAAATGGCCTTAAAATACAGATGTGACGTCATCCTTTGCTGTTAGCATACCATTATTTCCAATAATGTTCAGGCATCTTGCCAATCGTTCATTATCTATACTAGATGAAATATTGGACTCGCGTGATGTATTTTAAGTTGTTTAATGGTCTTGAGCTAAAGACATTGCGTAATATATTACCCATGGTAACTTCTATGTATAACGGTTCTCAAAATTGAAATTATTTAAGTCTGTACAGATTGCACAAATATTCAAACTGGATAAGTTTTTAAAGGCTGTTCAAAGTGATAATTTTTAATATTTCAGTACATAGTGCTCACACGAATATATTCAAATTTGATTTTTTAGTATGTTACACAATGTCGACTAAAACTATGGCAACTTCTATGAATAACAAAGGCTGTAGTGTTCACACATATATTTGATATTTTAGAACTCGCTATTTCATATCAATTACAACATACCTGATATTAGCGACACCAATAAGTTGACAAAAATCAGAGAAAACTTCATCTTCAACTCGATTCATTTTATCCTTCAATATTTTAATTTTATCTCCTCTTTCGTTCATAATCTGATCAATTTCTAACATTTGAGGCTAAAAAATAAAAACAATAATATCTAACATATGAAGCTAAAAACAAAAAATTAAACATTTTGTATCAATAGATTTTCTATTTAATTATAATTTTAAGCAGTCAATAAAAAGAGAGTGAGAAATGGGGTTTAACATCCACTTGACACAAACTAGATCATTTCTGGACCAACACATGGTTCCAACTCTATTTCAATAATTTGCTTGTGCGTAGGGGTCTTTAACAGTGGGAGGAAACCGGAGGACCCAGAGAAAACCCACGAGGTTGGAGAAATAAATAGTGAGAGAGAGAGAAATGGGATTTAATGTCCACTCAACACAAACTAGGTCATTTCGGGACTAACATATGGTTTTAATTTTATTTTAATAATTCGCTTGCGCGTAGGGGTCTTTAGCAGTAGGAGGACCCTACTCCTTGTCATGTACAAACGGGGATTCGAAACCATGCCAGTTGACTCAATGACAGGCCTTATGATACAGCACGCACGTGCTAACCATTCGGCCATACAACTCCCCCCCCCCCCCCCCCCCCCGAGAAATAAATAAAGTGGGGTTTAATATGTTACTCATCAAACAGACTATTGAAGATGGAAGCTAAGAGGAAAATTTTCACCTGATAACATCCTACTCCTTTTGATTTTCAGCTATGTTTGGGGATCTTTAACATGCTATGTAAGGTAAACATATCTCCCCTATATTTTTTGCGTGTAGGTTCAGACTCGTGTCTGGCCCCTTGGCTACTGATAGTGATGTTTATAGGAGAGAGGTGAGTAATTCAATAACCAATGAAATGGGGTTTAACATCCTATTGTTCTGCTCTGAATAAGGCTAACGAAGACAGGCATATGACACACAGTATGCTATGAGGGAAATTTTGCCCGAACAACGGCACTATGGCCTACTGTCATATCGAATTCCAAGTGTCAAGGGATCGTTAAGGCCACGCCAATGTGTGCACGGGACCACGGTTTTTCATCCCATCTGAACAACTAGACAGCTGTCCTTGTCAGGCCCTCTGTCCTGCATCACTGACAAGGGGGAACCACGTCGGAAAATCTGGATGAACTTTTTCGGCCAATGCAGGGATCGAACATCCGACCACCAGACTAGCAAACAAGCATCTTACCACTAAGCCACCGAGACCCGCTGTAACTCAATACAAATTGTCTCAAAATGGGCATGTTTAACTTACACATACACAAATTTTACCAGTTGAAGAACCTATATCTGGCTGTTTAATGTTTACACTGCCTAAAGCCGACTGCAACTAGTGCTCTTAAGACCCGCCCCAGAACGGAAAACCCTGAGCAACTTTTCTCGGCCAACAAGCTAATGATTAAAAAAGATAAGGTTCTTACATCAAATGATACCATCATTTCATTATATTGATTTAAATCTTTCTCATTCTGATTCAGATGTTTGTTCAACTGAAAAATATATAATCATATAATTATTGACAGAAACACAAACTGATACTAAAACTTCCAAGCAGTAATCAGGGACATCACACAGAAGATCCTGTACAGCTAGGCAGGCAACCCACATTGTTTTCATCACAGTTCTGCCAGTCTCAAAAATGGATGTGACTTGAGTAGAATTTGTAGTGTAATCAGATGTTACGGCTATGGTGATTGGTCAAAATAATATCAAATTCAATTGGTACTGGTCTTGAAGGGTTGGAGAACTCAATTCTAGAATATTCATCTGAGTACCCGTTATGTGCTTGATCGACCAATTGACTATATAGGCCTTTTGTAGATAAAAGGCCTTATGATTTACACTGCGCAGGTTACATAACGCAATCATTCAACCTCCACCCTGACTTATGATTTACAAGATTCGGTCAAGGAACATCCTCCAAGCATGAAACTACTTCATGCATTATCTTGTGACTGGAGAGGTGCATGTTAGACGACTGGGCCACCATACCCCACTCACAACCCACCCTTATGTAAAATACAAGGGGCATGTTAGATGACTGGGCTACCCTAACCCACCCTAAATTAAAATACAAGGGGCATATTAGACGACTGGGCTACCCTACCCTGTCTCCACCCTCAAGTTATATACTTACAGTATTATCTCTGTCAGTGATAGAATATTTTAATCTTGTTTCTAATCCTTTAATCTGTGATCTAATTGTATTTAACTCCGATTCCTTTCTCTTCTTCTTCAACTGTTCCTTTAATTCCTCACTTAACTTCTCTTTCTTCGTCTTTAGTTGTGTCAACATCTTCGAATCCCATCTTCTAGCCTTGGCCTTCAAATCACTAAATAAAAATACGTTTTTAAGATGAATGATCTGTGTTTAACTGAAGTAATGATTATAATAATTCAGATTTTCCCGGAATAAAGCACCTGGGCAGTGCATTCGTCAAACCTCGGCTGTATGACGAATTCCTCCATTGGAACTACTTTAAAGTTCCGGGATTAAAAATGGTGGCATCCATGTTTTATCTCAAGATTTTACCGGAATAAAGCACCAGACGGGGTATTCGGCAAACCTACACCTAACCTTGACTGTATGACGAATTACGCCATTGGAACTACTTTCAAGTTCCGGGATTAAAAATGGTGGAACCCATGTTTCATCTTAAGATTTTGCCGGAATAAAGCACCATGACGGGGCATTCGGCAAACCTACACCTAACCTTGACTGTATGACAAATTCCGCCATTGGAACTACTTTCAAGTTCCGGCATTAAAAATGGTGGCACCCATGTTTTATCTCAAGATTTTGCTGAAATAAAGCACCATGGCGAGGCATTCGGCAAACTTAAACCTAACCTCGGCTGTATGATGAATTCTGCCTTTGGGACTACTTTCAAGTTTCAGGATTAAAAATGGTGGCACCCATGTTTTATCTCAAGAAACTGTATTCCAATAGCAAACGCTTACATTGCTTGACTAATTCTGCAATGGAAACTCTACACACTCTGCTGAGGTTTGCCGAACGCAGGGCAGGGGGCCTTAATCAAATAAAACTTTAACTCAATATTTAAAGAATGCAGGATTCTCATTGATCAAGAACTAAAATCTGTATGATGATTATAGTTTTCAACCAATGATCAAGTTGTATTCTTAGTTTATATTTTAATGAATAAGACACCTGGTTTATAAATAGACCTGGCCTGACAAAGACAGCTGTCTAGTTGTTTGGATGGGATGAAAAAACGAGGCCTGTGTACACATTGGCGTGCACGTAAAAGATCCCTTGGCAATTTGAATTCGATATAACAGTAGGCTGTAGCGCCGCTGTGGGGGCAAAATTTCCCTCATAGCACACTGTATGACGTATACCCGTCTTCATTAGCCCAGTTTGGAGCAAAACACTAGAACATTAAACTCCATTTTATTTCATTTATATATAGATTAATATCTTACCTAGCACCACCAGATATGACACCTGATTTTTGAAAGAGTGTACCATCTAGAGCTACAGACTACAAAATAAAACAATTCAAATATTTACAATGTTAGTCAGACAAACATACAATTTTTGTTTTTCTATGAACATAACTCCTATGCTATGAACATAACTCCCATGCTATGAACATAACTCCCATGCTATGAACATAACTCCCATGCTATGAACATAACTCCCATGCTATGAACATAACTCCAATTCTATGAACATAACTCCCATGCTATGAACATAACTCACATGCTATGTAAAATAGAAGAATGTTGTGCAAACAGTGACGTTGTGCAGACAGTAATTTCTTGGGGATCTAACAACATTCTCTTTAAGTCATGAACAAGTAATGTTTATTTTACAGAATAAACATAAAGATTTACAAATGAATGAAGTTATGAAGACTGGGAATACAGAAATTTAAACTGGGAATACAGAAATTTGGACTGGGAATATTGAAATTTGATATAATAATTTGGACTGGGAATATTACAAGTTTACAATTTGGACTGGGAATTTTGAAATTTGATAGACAGGGAATACAGAAATTTGGACTGAGAATACAGAAATTTGGAATGAGAATACAGAAATCAGGACTGAATACAGAAATTTGGACTGCGAATATAGAAATTTGAACTGTGAATATAGAAATTTGGACTGTGAACATAGAAATTTGGACTGTGAATATAGAACTTTTACATTACCTTATGTCTTTCATGTCCACCAAAAGCCACTCTTCTGGCATCTTCAACAGTTTCACATACTAGAGCATTACCACAGGCAAATAATAACGCCTTCTTTATAACAGGTGGATCATATCGTATAACATCTATAACTAACTTCACGTTCTTAGGTTCACGGATATCTCTACAAACGAAAAAACAACGTAAAATGAAATGTACATAGAATAATGAAATGAAATGGGGTTTAACGTCCTACTTGTCGGTACCAACCAGGACTAACAAGGACAGGCATAGGACATGAAGTATGCTATATGGGATGGGAAATTTTGTCCATAAGGTGGCACTTTCATGTTGAAAATATTTTTGCCTACTCGTTATCAGATCCCAATGGGATCTTTAACATGCACAACTATGAGTAGACATTTTTTCTAATCCCATCCGAGCAACTACACTGTTTTCTTTGCCAGACATTCTATTTCACACCACTGAAAGAGGAAACCAGGTTGGAGAATCCCAAGAACGTTCGGTTAGTGAGCCAATGAGAAAACTGACTGTATGCCCAATAAAAGGACCAAACATAACTTCAGAACTCAGTTAGTTATACAATGGCAGAAAGAGAGAGAGAGGTTGGGTTTAACCTCCACTCCACACAAACTTCGTCATTTCGGGACTAACTTCGGGACTAACATTTAGTTCAATTTTATTACAATAATTTGCTTGCAGTGGGAGGAAACCGGGGAAAACCCACAAGGTTGGACAGGCGACCCTACTCCTTGTCACGTACAACCGGGGAATCGAAACAACGGCAGATGACTCAATGACAGACCTTATGATGCAGTGCACACATGCTAACCATTCGGTCATCCACCCAACGCCCCGCCCCCAATAAAAGGACCAAACATTACTTCAGTTAGTTACACAATGGCAAGTATAAAAGTTTACAAACGACTTTAACACATAATTAACATGTTTTATCCATGAATTCTTTAAAATCTAAACAAAATCTGTGAATTTTTCAAAATCTAAACAAGATCTGCGAATTCTTCAAAATCCATCTGCCTGAACTGTATTGAAATATTTGTAAATGTAAAAACTAACCTGAGTTTTTCGTTAACTTGTTTAACGTCAAGATAATCAAGAGGTAAAAATGTCTCAGGTTCAATTCTCTGTTCTTTCATATACTGAATACAATCTTTAGCTGTTTTCTCCGTGTCACAGACGATGGCGTCCATATATTTACCCAATACTTTGGTTATAGCAACTTGATATTTCTTATGACTGGGTTCACATAAATCTATCAGACGACCATGCTGTCAAAATAAGCAAATATAAAATCCCGTTTATATGTTAGATCTATAGGACGATCATGCTATTAAATAATCAAATTCCGTTTATATTTTGAAATCTAATAGACATTGGACGACCATGCAACATTGCTTCGAAAAAAGTCTTAGGCTCTGTCAATTCAAGTACGATCGACATGAAACTTGGCGTGTTCCTTGGACAATTGATAGACTTCAATTTTTGATGTCACAATTCCAAGATGGCGTCACCATACTTGGTTCATGGTCATTAGGAGAGAGAGAGAGAGAGAGAGAGAGAGAGAGGGTTTAACTCACAAACTAGGTCTTTTCGGGATTAACATATGGTTCAATTTTAATTCAATAATTCGCTAGTGCGTATGGGTCTTTAGCAGTGGGAGGAAACCGGAGGACTCAGTGAAAACCCAAGAGGTTGGACCGGCGACCCATCTCCTTCTCACGTACAATCGGGGAATCGAAACCATGCCACTTGACTCAATGACAGACCTTATGATCTGATGTGCATGCATCATTAGTACACTTTATTTGGTTAGTAAATAGTTGATCTTACCACTCCCGGGAAAAGTCTCTTCAAGTTATCCAGTAATTCAGCTTTTTTCATGGCTCGAGCCGACTCGTGCTTATCAACCTGAAATTAACAACAATTACAATTGTCAAGTACACGCTGGGAACTGAAACCACGCCACTTGACTTTGACTAAATGACAGAGACCTATGATCTAAAGCTAGATGAAAGAAAGAGAGCGAGAAGTGGGGCTTAATGTCCACTCGACTCAAAAATAGGTCACTTTGGGGACTAACATATGGTTCAATTTTATTTCAATAATTCGCTTGTGCCTAGACACAAGTACAAGTGATTTTGGGTGATTTTAAACGATTTTTAACATTTTTAAACATAGATTTGATATTAAATGAATGTGAAAAAAATTAGTGCTAAATATACAAAATTAAATGATACCCAGGTTTCAGTGTGAAAAGTCACACAATGTTTGATACGTACCTTAGCTTCTCCAAGTTGTTCTATAACAGAACCCAGTTCAACATTTATTTCAGAAATACGTAGGTTGGCTGTTTCTACATCGTAGCCTAACTCTTCCTCTATTTTCTTCTGTTCTGCTACAGCTTGTGTACTAGTTCTAAAATTATAAAATTAAACTTAATATATTATAATAATATGTACATTTATACCATGCATAGTTCCATCCTAATATATGCATGTTCAAGGCACTACACAGTCTGGGTGCCATAACAAATGGAAATAACTGATAATTGGTATTTTTTAATTGGATAAAAAAAAAAAAAACTCAAGCATACTAACCTAATATATTCATTCAATTTGTCCACTCTCTTCAAATTCTCTTCTTTTTCATGTTCCTTTTGTTTTAATTTTGCAACTATTTCGTTCTTCTTCCTCACTTCGTTATCATATTTATCCTGATCTGTCTTTTGTTCACGATTTATAGATTCTAACTCTTGTAGATATCGAGCTGATAATTTCCCAGCTTTTTCTTTCAAGCGTTGATATTCCGTTACCTAAACAAAACAGAGACAGAACATGCAGAATGAGACAATGCTTTACATCCAAGACTAGCACGAGGTAAAACTTTGTATTCATTATTTCACATGCTCTCACAGTTGTCGATTGCCACTAAACCATAAATCCACGAGGTTGGACAGGGATTTGGGGGTTTGAGGAGTATTTTTATATAATTTTACCTGTGATTCCTCAAGTTGTAAAGATCGACCTTGTGACTGAGATTCTTCTTCTATTTTCTCTTCAAATTCTAATCTTTTTCTTTCGATATCACCCAATTCCTTCTCTAACGTTTCAATCTACAAAATATCACATTCATAATTAGAAGTGTGCAAAATACTGTTTCTAATTCAATGTTCTCCTATATTTACAGATGAAATAGCTCTCCAAAAAAAAAAAAAAAACTCTCCGAATTTCAGTTTTATTTCATCCAAATTAACTAGAACCATATCTAATTAACAAGAACTGTATCTAAATAACAAGAACCGTATTTAATTAACTGTATCTAATTAACAAAAACTGTATCTATTTAACAAGAACCGTATCTAATTAAAATCACAATTTTATTCTGTTCCAGTTTAAATTTTGGTTGGCATATATTTAAGCTGCTCCCCCAAAACCAGGCTCTTGGTCATTCTTATTTGAATAGTCCACAACCTAAGCTTTCTAAAAATGCAATTCTTTTAAAATTTGTTGTATCATCTGGAGATGAACTCAGCTCGTTCACAGCCACAAGAAGGCATACAGTTTATGCTTTTGTGCCCGTAGTACAAAATGAAGTTGTGCGACAAGCGCCTGGTTTTGTGGGGGAGGGTTACATATGAAGATCTAACTATTTCTTTTTGAATTTTCTGTTCTCTTTGTAGTTTATTTTGAGGCGTGGTGATTGACTTACCTCTTCTTCATGATTATCGTGAGTTTTTCTGGCTTGTTTCAAAGATTTTCTATAAAATAATAACATTCAATCAATCATTAGTTTGGGAAAAGGAAATTTCTAATTATAAAGTGATTGAGTGCTGAAGAGAGAGAAGAAATGGGGTTTAATGTCCACTTGACAGAAACTAGGTTATTTCGGGACTAACATATAGTTCGATTTTATTTCAATAATTCGCTTGCACGTAGGGTCATTAGCAGTGGGGGGAAACCAGAGGAATCGGAGAAAAACCCAGAGGTTGGACAGGCGACCCCACTCCTTGTCACAAGCGTGAAAATAAACCACGCCCGTTGACTTAATGACAGACCTTATGATCCAACACAATAGTGTTAACCCTTCGTCCACCCAACCCTCCTCAGTGCTGAAGGAAAAGGAGTAGTTCCCTTTCACTACAAAGACATCCTCAGGCAAAATCTATGAATGATTCTCCAAGTTTTAAAAATATTTCATGAAAGGGAAAGAATGGGGTTTTATGTCTGCTCCATACAGTATTTAAATTTGAGACTAGCATGTGGTTTGTTTTTTTTTTGGAGGGGGGGGTACCCCGACAGGGGTTCTGTCTTCATCGAGTTCCAACCATCACGTGTTCTTTCACGATTTACTACTGACACTGTGCTTGAATATGTCTTCAGTCAGACTGATATCCCCCCTGCCTGCCCCCCCCCCCCCTGCCTCACTGAAACTCATTAAATACTTGCACATTCATCTCTTTACAAAGTATCAAATTGTCCTCCATGGCTTATCATAAGCAGAAAATGCACAATATTGGACTTTGTCATTGTACTGATAAGAAAATGTTCATTATCGCACCTTGTCCATGTACTGATGTAATGAAACTATACACCACGTTGCATCACTTGGATTCCCGAACAGAACCATCTACTTAAACAATCTTTTAAGTACAAAAGCTAAGACACAGTTTGAAGATAGCACAAATCTAATCTTTTTCAAGCGTTGAAACATAATCAGTAACCTACTGGGAATTATTTATACCATAGTTTTCCATAAAAGAGAAATATATCTTACTTAGCACCCTCAAGTTTTTTGATCATATGTGCTGTCTTTTCTTTAGCTTTAATATATAATGGTCTCTTCTTGTTCATTTCAACTTCCTGTATAATAACATAAACTTATCAATATATATCATAACTCACAGAAGCTATATAAAGTTGGGACATCTTAAAAAATTTTCTCAAGATCAATCAAGGCAAAATTTTCAGCGCCAGCTCACTACATGCTGTAGGCCCATCTTCAGACGAACCAGAGAAAATCCATGAGGTGCACGTGACTCCAGTCCTTGTCACGTACAAGTCTGGGATTGACATAGTCATAAAATGAAATGGGGTTTAACGTCCTACTGTTCTACTCAGACTGGGCTAATGAAGACAGGCATACGCCATACAGTGTGCTATGTCAGAAATTTTGCCCGGGGAGCGGCACTATGGCCTACTCTCATATCGAATTCCAACTGCCAGGGGGTCTTTTACGTGCACGCCAATGTATACATGGGACCTCAGGTTTTTCGTACCATCTGGATGACTAGACAGCTGTCCTTGTCAGGCCACCCCATCCTGCACCACTAACAAGGGGAAACAACGCCGGAAAATCACGATAAACATTCTCGGCCAATGCAGGGATCCAACACGTGACCTCCAGGCTAGCGAGCCAGCATCTTACCCACTTAGCCACCGTGGCTCCCACAATCCTCAACCTTATTAGAATTCACAATAAAGGTATATTGTTGTGCCATTGTCCAGAAAAAATTTCCGTTGTAGCACAATGTGTGGCATGTTGACCGTCTTGGATGATGCCGATGTTAAAACTCCTATCCCCTTTTCATAAAAGAATCAACTTACCATCTCCTTAACATTTTGATCTATTTTTGTCAGTTCCCTCGTTAACTTGCCCTGTTCCTTTTTCTTCTCTTTAACTTCATCTTCGATACGATCTCTCTTTCTATTCTCTTTTTCTAACATTGTATTTTTTTTGCCCAATTCTTCGTTAATTTCATCTATTTCTCTCTCATTATGATACAAACGGAACAACTGTAGTTCCAACTCTTTCTCACACTGTTAAAAAAAAAATCAAAGAAATAAAAATATTTATTAAACATGCATTATGCAAAAGCTAAATCTGCCTATTGCAGGTCTTTCTTTAGGCCTGAAATGTTTTCTAAAGTATTAATTAGACATTAATTAACTGATCCAGGCCTTAATCAACTCTCGATGGCATCAGATTTCTCCGATATTAAATAGATTAATCAAATATGGAGGACCGAGACTTAGCTTCGATCAACCAGTACGGTGGTTGAAATTATTGCACACGTCTGTCAAACCTTCAAAGGCTAATATCTTCGCTTGCAATAGAGTAATTTGAATGAAATTTTCAAATTATTCATTTTACACCATCTACTTTCAAACTTTAATAGCAAGAACGGCTAGTTCTTTATTTAAATCATACATAATGTATCTTTAATCAATGCCTGACGTCATAGGGTCAAAAGCCGCTTGTACGATCCCTGACATGACCTTCGAGTACAACTTGTCAGATCTTCATGTAGTGTAGGTCATCGAAAGTATAAAAACACGAAACGAAATATATAGATCTGTATTTTAATCAGATTGAGTGGATACACGAGGCTAAATCTAGATCTTGACAGATAGAGAGAGAGAAATGGGTTTTAACAGCCACTCGAGGCACAAACTAGGTCATTTCGGGACTAACATACGGTTTAATTTTATTTCAATAATTCGCTTGCACTAAGGGACCTTTAGCAGTGGGAGGAAACCAGTGGACCCGGAGAAAACCCCCAAGGTTGGACAGGCGACCCTACTCCTGGTCACATACAACCAGGGATTCGAAACCACGCCAGTTGACTCAATGACAGGCCTTATGGTACAGTACACATGCTAACCATTCGGCCATCCCCCCCCCCCCCCCGATCTTGACACAATCTCAAGATTAGAAGAATAATCATACCAATTGTTCCTTGAGTCTCTGATAGCGTTCAGCTTCATCTTTCTCCATTTTTGCTTCCTTTCTTTCAGCAGCAATACCTTTCTTTTTGAAATAATTAAACTGGGTATCTTCTTCAGCTTTCAACATTTCAGCTTTAGTTCTATCATATTCATCTTTTAATTCACCAGATCTAAAAAATCAAAATCAATAATGAAAGCAATACCTTCGAATTTATCCAAAAGATCCCCAGGATTTATCAGCACGTTTCCCAGGATCAGTGGTGCAAGAAAAGCGTTTAGTCAATCGGATGGTACCAGATCTAAAAATCAAAATCAATATTAAAAGCAACACTTTCGAATTCATCCTAAAGATCCCCAGGATTAATCAGCACGTTCCCAGGATCAGTGGTGCAAGAAAAGCGTTTAGTCAATCGGATAGGACGGAAAAAAAGTTCTGGAACAGCTGTGTGGAATAATCTGTGTGAATTTTATCTCAGATAGCGGTCAATGTTATTGACAGGAGCCATGGTGGCTCAGTGAGAAAGAAGCTGACTCGCTAACCTGGAGGCCCCGTGTTCGCTCCCAGTGTCGGCTCAGAACTGGCAGGACAGAGCGCTTGGCAAGGAAGTGTCTAGTCGTTCGGATGGGATGAAGACCAAGGTATTGTATACATGTTACGTTGGCGTGCACGTAAAAGAAGCCTTGATGGCAGGAATTCAAAATAAAAAGTTATAGGACTTTAAAAACATGGCAACGCTTATTCCACCTCACCCAGAAATTCTAAAAGCATCAGATAATTTCATTAATAGCTCTTCAAGTATATTTCAATTCAACAAATTTGATTACACCCACCTGCTTATTTCCTCAAACATGGCCGTTCTTTCTTTAGCATTTTTCATGGCAATGCTTTCCACAGTTCCTTGAAACACCAGAAAATTCTTAGATTTAACCAAAACTCCAATTTTCTCCAGTTCTGCAGCATATTGGTTTGCAGATACACTCTGAAGTTTTAAATTAAAACATATAAATACAAGTTTAAACAAATGACTAAGAACAATTGTATGAATATTATGATTGAATGAATTGAAGTTTTACTCATACTTTTCTGTAAAATCAGAAACTATACCAAGATTGTTCCCAAAATTGACAATAATAACTTAGAATTTTTGAAGTGTAAAATTAGTGTTCAGTTACATGTAGTAGTCTACTGTATAAAATAAAACAGGATGGAGAGCATATCAGGAAAGAATGTCTAGCCATTCAGATGGGAAGGAAAACGGAGGTACTGTGAATACATTGGCGTGCAATTTGAAATACGAGTAGGTCGTAGCTCCACTGTCTGGGGAAAATGTCCCTCACAGCCAATAGAAATGATGAGAAATGGTGTTCTGCTCCTACTGAGCTAATGAATATGGGCATATACCATACAGTGTGCTATGAATCTGTGACTAAAGTAACTACTACCATACATACCTGTCCGTTAACTTTATGATCTGATGCGTTACTGTGAATTGTACGTGTAAACACTATCTCTTCGTCAGACTCGGTATCCACGTAAACAGCTGAAACGGAGGCCTTGTTTGAAGCTGGCTGTCCTATTGGTGCTCCATGAATCAACGACTAAAATAACATGTAAATTAAATATAAACAATTTTAAACTCCACTCAACACTAACTAGGTCATTTCGTGACTAACACAAATAGTTTAGATATTATTGCAATTATTTAAAGGACAATATTGGTGCCAGTCATTATCACATATGTAATAGAGCTGGTTAAACACATTCCAAATATAATTTCAACACAGAGATCCTTGCTTCGATAGCTGAGTAATACAGGTTTCCTGAATTGGAAGTGACGAACGCCAAAGGAAAACATGAGTCATCTCTCTATATAACTGACTGATGTGACGAGTGGAAACGGATATACGGGCGAATTTCTGCTCACTAATAATTCCTTCGAAGACCAAAAGTTGAGACTGTGAGAGGATATCTGACAATTCATAAAAAGAATTGAGTGCCACTATATAAGTGAACACGAAAGAAAAACAGAAAAAGTCAGTGCATTACCATGTTTTTATAAGGTATAGAATGAATATAAACAAGGGAATGTACGGACTATTTCTATTTTTCTCGTGTTCTCTTATCTAATGACATTCAATTACTTTATTGAATTGTCAGGTATCCTCTTACAGTCCCATATAACAACTTTTGGTCTTCGAAAGAATTATTAGAGAGCAGAAATTCGGCATCGCTAGCCTGCGATCTTTAGTGGATTATGAGCCGATTTACTACATAACTGTCCTTCACGATTTAACGATTAAATAGATAATTGAGACTATGCTGTTTATCTTTTGACTTCAGTAATGATGATCCAGGCTAGCTGTAAATTTCAACTGCTTAGTTCTCGGTTCATAGTGGATCAATTTGAATGAAATTTTCAGCAAATTGTCTTTACCAGGCCTTGTGTTTTGAGGCGCACGATCGCGCATGCAAACCGCCACCGAGGTGTGTCTTGATCGCGCACGCCAGATTTTTGTGAACGCAAAAAAAAAATTCGACGGGGCTCATATTTTCATATCGATGGCGAAGCGAATGCACAGACGATAATGTTAGTGAGAGTTGTCGGTACGAAATTATCTCCCTTTACCGGATGCGGAAAACAGCTTAGTTTCGAGCGCATGGCTGAATCGATTACCGCGTTATTTGTCATGCTTGATTTCCGGACATGTGAAGTCGATACCGGAAAATATTCTATTTTTTCTGGCTGTCTTTGTTGACATTTATTATGTCAGCGGTCGGTGGGAACAGAGTCAGATTGGCCACCTTCAAACCATGGAATTTTTCCGAGGTTGGTTATGACACTTTCAAGGAGGAAAACAGGACAGTGTTTGTCAATAATGTTTGGTGCACAGTTTGCGCTAAACACCGAAGGCAAATCGAAAAAGACTCGAGAATTCGAGGTCAAACACTCAAAGAGCTCGATAGATACTGTTTAGGTACAAACTATGTCAGCAAATATACTGTTCTTCGCCATTTAAAATCCACGGCACATGCGATAGCAAGTCAATGCGAATATGGACCAAAGTTGGACTTCGTGCCTCCTAAGAACCAACCAAGGATTGACCATAAATTACATTATTGTTAAAGGACACGCCCCCAAAATTTTTAGGTGTATGTTTTAGGTGTTATCCACACGCCTGAAGATAAATAAGGTGTGTGTTACGCGCACGCCTGCCCCTGTACCAACGCCAAGGCCTGCTTTACATTATCTAGCTTTTAACTATTATAGTGAGAACTGCCATTATCGAATCTCCCATAATGTATCTTTAATAGTTTATATAACATTTCACGCCTCAAGAAAGACCTGCAACAGGCAGATTTAGCTCTTGCATAATGTATGTTTAATTTGGGGCAGGGTTTTTAGTACTTGGACGGCACTTGAATACCCTGAGTAAACCTACAATGAGAGGCATGCGACCTATCCTTGTCATATCACGGACAAGAATAAAAAAAAATATGTAGTTTCGATTGAGATAAACACAAATATTTTAAGGCCTCCGATTGCAGATGTAATATTGGGGTATCATCATGATTCAATGACAGTGACTGCAGAAAATAAAATTTTACAAACTATCAACATTTTTTGCTGACACTTACATTCAGTTTCTTGGCTCTCAAATTAGACGTTTTTTCACCAAGTACAAAACTTATAGCATCCATCAAGTTTGATTTTCCTGTAAAAGAAGTTTTATAAAAGTTTTAAAATTAAAGAGAGAGAGAGAGAGAGAGAGGGAGAGAGGGGGGGCTATTTCTACTCGAACACAAACTAGGTCATTTCAGGGCCAACATATGGCATAAATTTTACTTCAACAATTCGCTGCATGTAGCCTAATGCGTCTTTTGCAGTGGGAAGAAATTCACGTGGTTAGACAGACGACCGTACTCCCTGTCATGTTACAGAGTGTGAGATCGAAACCATGCCACCTGACTCACAGACAATCTCTATGACAAGTTGTGATCTTCAGCCACCCAAACCCCCATGGCCATGGACTCGCATAAATTTACGAAATGCTACACAAAAATTGGTGGCTTTCAAGTTTCAAAAATATATAAATGTGTATTTCCACTCGATAACCATTACGAGCTAAAAAAGAAAGTATTACAAGGCATGAATTTAATTGTAAATTAAAATCTAATTACTCATTAATACTGACATTACTGAACTCAAATTTTGTAAACATTAACATATGTGAATGAAGCCTCGACGACCTGCATGCCTATGATTTTCAATTTATGAACCATATATGCATCTGTAATATTTGTACATCTTTATTAATGGCGTTTAATGCAGTGAATGCTTTATTAAATATACATCAGATTATTAATAATTAATAAAAGAGAGCGGGTTGTTTTGTTTGGAAGCTGCAAGGGGAGAGAATTTGTTTCCTTCTTGATAATAATAATAAAAAAAAAAATGTCACGGTTACTATCAAGTTTTGGTAGTATCTTATTAAAAGAAGTACAATGCAGGGTTATTTAATTCTATCCACGATATGTTTGAAGTAAAGGTCGCGTCTACAAAATCACAACGGACTCTTTATTTCTCTGTTAAATGAATCGATTTATTTATTTACCTGAACCATTCGGTCCAATAATGGCAGTGAACGGCTTGAAAGGCCCGATGCGTTGTTGACCTTTGTAAGACTTGAAATTATCCACATCAATGAATTTTAGATAGCCGGGCATCTTTGCAAAATATTCTTCTGCAGCCTTGCTGCAATATTTTCTGGAAAAATATCCTTGAAAATATAGTAAATAGATCAAAATAACGGCATTTCTGTTGACAAAATTTAGCGGGAATAGGTGTCGCTTACGGATTTTGTCTCGCAAGTTCACGTTAATTCTCGCGAGGTGAAGCCATTGTGATAACGGTATCTTATTGGAGAAAATATTTTTTTATGTTATTCTTCTAATAAATATTGTTTGCTCTGTTGATTTGACAAATATAGTTTAACCATCAGATATTTTCATAAAATTGCATTTAAGGGAAATTATGAATTTTTCAGTGTCATTCAAATCCCGCAGTCCTTAGCAACGATGGCAACTTAGCAACGCATCAATAAATATAATATTTTAGTTTGAAGGTTTGGCTGAATATTTACCATTTCTGAGGAACATCACAAACGTTCAAGATGTATAAACTCGACTTGCCTGTCGATTATAAAGAGGCGGCTGCTATTGAGCGCCGGAGGAAAATGGAAGAGCATCGTCAGTCACGAATTTTTAATTCAAAAGTCAGAACGATTGGGGTAAGTAATTGAAATTCTGCTTCGATTCGAGAACGCCATAGCATAGCCTATCGACAGTATCGTAAACGCTGAGATAGTCCTAAACCAGATGTTTGCTTTTAGCTACGGGCGCTACTGCAATGATTGGAGCCCATTAATTCCAAATATAAGACAATTTTATTTAGCCTGTCGTCTCGTCCTAAATAAGATAATTTAGCCTAAATTTAGGGCTTGTCCTGTCGTCTCGTCAATCAAGTTTTTATGATTCCACTTGACGACTCGCAATTCCTAAGTTCTGTAGGCTAGTCACAATCACTTCTTCATGCTTTCGTATATTCTGAACTTTCAATTGACTGTCGCAGTGTTTTAGCCCAGAATTCATACCATCTCTTCTGAATTCAAAGTGTCTCTCCGGTTACATTACAACTTTCCCGCTTCGAATATTGTTCTCATTTTCATTTGTCAGTCAAGTAGGATTACGTCTATAGGCCTACTGGCTGGAGGACTAATTGCATATGCAAGTGTTACAGAGATTGAATACATAACAATAATCATTCGTTAGTGATACTCTTTTGCTCAGTTAATTAATGCTGGAGTGATTCACTTAAAATGCCAGATATAGGCCTAGAACTATAGTGAGCTAGGGTATGTAGTCCACAGTATTTCTATAAACCACCAAGTCCCACTTGGTAATGTAAGTGTTCAATATTTAATCACTGCTATATATTCATGAAATTAACATGTGTAGCCTATTTAAAGAATTTATCTCTGGAGAGGCCAAGTCTATTACTATTATATAAATTCTATTATAATAATCTGAAAAGGCATGGTCAAATATTTTGTTGTTTAACTGTGTTCTTCGTACACCAAATAAGTACGTAAGAAATTATATTCTGACTATTAAACTATTATTATTTTCATACTATAATTAACGCTGTAATCTTAAATTGTTTTTTTTTTTTTAGATTGATGAACAAGCCATACAACAACAATTAAGTGATAAAAAAGAACAGGAATTGTATGAAAAAAACAGATTAGAAGCACATGGTTAGTTTACTATCTTCAAATAACACCTGTCTTTAATATAGGCCTATAATTATTAAACCTTGACATTAAGTAGCCATTGTTTCACTATTTAGAGGTGGCTTGGGTTATACTTAGTCTAAAATGTGATCAAACCAGTTGGTTAAAAAGACTATACACTATACTGGAAAAAATGAAATGAAATGAAATGGGGTTTAACCTCCTACTGTTCTGCTCCGAACTGGGCTAATGAAGACGGGCATATGCCATACAGTGTGCTATTAGAGAAATTTTGTCTAGACAGCGGCAACTACGGCCTACTCTTATATCGAATTCCAACTGTCAACGGATCTTTTACGTGCATGCCAATGTGTACACGGGACCTCGTTTTTTTCCAATCTGAACGACTACACAGCTGTCCTTTTCAGGCCTTCCATCCTGCATCACTGACAAGGGGGAACCACTCCAGAAAATCTGAATGCACTTTCTCGGCCAATACAGGGATCGAACACTCGGCCTCCAGGCTAGCGTATATTGGAAAAATTCCAGGGATATTATTCGCGGAAATTTAAACTAAAATATTTTAAGAATGCAGCATATTCATTGGAAATAGATATATGGCGTTTTTATCGACCACTGATTAGCCAAAGTGATTGCATTTAATCAAATTTCATCTTTAATAATCCAGTCTTATTTTCTGGTTAAACTATCTAAAGTTGTCTTTCCAATGTCTGACATTTTCGTCCATTATTTGTTTTCCAGCTGCCGATGCTACTAGAAATGATTTGATTGGTCTTTTACTGGAAAAACGACAGGGGGAGGATATACGGGAATTGAACAGAGCAGAAGTGGAATTCAGACAGCTTCACCAACAACCAGAAAGCAGGCGGGAATTTGATCTCTACGACCCTGATGCATTGAAGAAGGATAAACCCGCTAGAGTTCACGATGATGACCCAAGATGCGGAATCTCCAGTTTACAGAAATTCGAAGGAGAAGATTTAAATAATCCAGCCAGAATAAAACTTCAACAGGAACAGAAAAAACATTGGCTGGAACAGCAAAAACGTGAACTTGAACAAGCGAAGAGAAATCAAGATATGGCAGATAAACTTTATCAGTTAAAACAAAAAGAGTTAGATCAACGTGCTATGGAATTACAGGAAGCTGAGGAACAATGCAGACGGGCAATCAATATGGCTACAACAGATTATAACAAAGCTTTAGTAAGTTGTCATTACGATCATTTGCATTTTGTCGCCTGGCCAACCTCATGGGTTTTCTCCCGGGTCCTCCAGTTTCCTCCCACTGCTAAAGATCCCTACGCGCAAGCGATTTATTGAAATAAAATTCAACCATGTGTTAGTCCCAAAATGACCTAGTTTGTGTCAAGTGGACATTGAAAAAAAAATTCCTGGCCTAATCCATGCTAAAATGTTCTCAAATTGTGATTATTTAACATTTAATTATATAAAGAAAGAGATCCAAATATCAATTATAATTTTCCTGCTTGGATTTATTCGTATTAAAACAAGGCCATCAAAAGATTTCAGAAAAAACTAAGCACTGCCGTGTGTTGACTAGATCTTATATATCGTCTGCAGTGAATTTTCAATTCACATCTTTGTAAATACTACCACCTGACTCGACCTTCCAGTACAACCAGTCAGATTTTGATGTAGTGTGGGCCATCAAAAGTATAAAAAAAAAAAAAAAACGTAATTATTTTAATCAGATTCAGATTGATTGAGAAAATGCTGGTAATTTTGAAATTAATTTCATTATTTTATTTTGTGTACGTGTAGGATGATGAACAGAAAGAACGAGCTAGATTGAAGCGGCAACAGGACGAAGATGATAACGCAACAGAAATGGCCAATCATATATTTGGTGATATTCTCACAGAAAATCCTGCCGTTGCTCAATCAGCGTTTGGTCCCCATCGTGTTATTACAGACAGGTGGAAGGGAATGAGCCCTGAACAAATCGCAGAAATTAAACGCCAACAAGAAATACAGCGTCAAGAACAAGAGGTAAGCTAATGTTTGGGTTTTTGTTGGATCTATTTTTTAGAAAGGGGAAAAACCCAATACTCATACTTGATCTCTATAAAGTCTCTAGCATTTACAATTATTCGAATTTGAATAATTCTTCACTGCTGTTTAAGATTCATTTTTTGATGTCAGTTAAAAGTTGATCAGTTATTTTTGTCTCAAGTAACTTTAGTATTCTCTTGTTGGGGGAGGGGGTTGGATGGCCAAATGGTTAGCATGTATGTGCTGTATCATAATGTCTGTCATTGAGTCAACTGTTGTGGTTTCAATTCCCCGGTTGTGCGTGACAAGAAGTAGGGTCGCCTGTCCAACCTCGTGGGTTTTCTCCAGGTCCTCCGGTTTCCTCCCACTGCTGAAAGACCCCTACACGCAAGCAAATTATTGAAATAAAATTGAACAATGTGTTAGTCCCGAAATGACCTAGTTTGTATCAAGTGGATGTTAAATAATTGGATTGTAATATTTTATTCCAACAGAGATTGAAGCAGGAACAAGACAGAAAAAATGATGAATTTGATAAACAAAGAGTCGCAAATGCTCGAGCTGCTTTACTGCTCGAAAGAGAGGCTGATCGTAAACGTCGTGATATTACTAAACAGCTGGCTGATGAAAATCGACGTCTGTCACAAGAACAGAAAGCTCACAAAGATTTCTTGTATAAAGAAGTATACACTAATCCTCCGACCGCTGCTTATTTCATGCAATGGAATACAACAAGTCGATAAGAAAACCTACAAACTCTATAATCTATTTTTAAAAAGTCCCATAAAAAAACTAAATTTTGAATGGTAGATTGAATTTAATTTCATCTCAATAATATGTTGGGTGCTTATGATGATAGTTTGGTCACAAATAGCTTAATTTGTTAAAATTAAGTTCAGCAGATACATTCATGGATGAAAATTAATATTTGTTCTCATTGATTCAAAGAAAAACTTAAATCCATCTGGTGTGTGAAATCATTGGAGCAAATGTAATTTTTGTATTGTCAGTTTAAGGCATCATATTTTAAAAGGTTTGTAATAAATTTTGCATTTTATCTGAAATAGTTTTCAAATTTTATGGGGCTGTTGAAAATATAGAATGAATTTTATGTTACGAAAAATCAAATAATGTGATATATTTTATGAAGCTGAACTTCTATTGTTGTTAACTTATATATGTTATTTATTTTATTTTTATCGAAGACACATTATTTCTTCTTTTCAAAGGAGGTATGAATTATGATAATGTGTGACATTATTTTAAGGTCAAGGTTAACATTTTTAAATTCAATGTTTTGCCACGATTAGTCTAGCAGTAAGACACTAACACCACTCTAATAATATACACTGTACCTTATGATTTAATTACGTTAAGCCCGTTGGTCGGATATTTTGGATGGGGATGAGGCTTGATCTGAGTTTTAAATCGTGTAAATCTGGGTGTCCTCAAGTAGCTGTGACAGTATATGAACTGATTTCCATCCTTTAAGATCAAAAGCCACTTTCTTTGCATCACCCCATGATGAGATACCAATGGTCTTTACTTAGAGTCTATGTTGTCAATCATCACTTTCACTTGCCATTTTGGTCCTCTCGAGATTCTGCCATAGAGAAATAAGGCCAAACACAATTTTAAACTGGAAAATTGCATGCATATAGACTTAAATATATGAATTAAATGCACATTAGGCCTACCATAAAATAATTATTTGTTTAAATTCACATCTTATAGACCACGTGTAGGCTTATAAAGTTTTGTATAAATTCACAATTTATTTGGGCCATAGGATTGGAAATTTGAATTCATGGTCACCAATAGGTTATATAGATCAGCATTATTTCCACGTGTATAAACATTTAGTACTCGGTGTATATTAATAACTTATCAGCATTCATTGATATTGTATATTTTATAGTATCCACAGCATTAGTTATATATTTAAAGAGCAGAGACTTTATTCATAAAAACATCAACCAAAGTATTTTAAGAATCTGGGCGTTTATTTATATAAGACAACACAGTTGTATGGATGATAAGCTTTATTTTATTCACAGCATTAGTTATAGGCTTTATTTATACAAACTTGAACTAAAATATTTTAAGAATTCAACACTTTCATTGGCCAAGAGCTCAAATGTGTACCAGGATTATAACCCTTTAACCAATGAAAAGGCTGCATCCTTAAAATAATTTAATTCTCTTGAACAAAGCCCCAGGTTATGTTTGATTTGTATGAAAAGTCAAATATCTTTTTGATTGTATCGGATGTCATTTACACTCCAGTAAAAGTGTTACCTCTATATTTATAATTTAACATCTTCATAATCGGTGAATATTGATGTATATAGACACAATAAAACAAACTAAAATAGTGTTCACTTGTAGAATATTCTGAGTTATTAGATATTTGCCTGAAAAATCAAATATCTTTTTGATTTTATCTGATGTCATTCAATCAATATTAAACCTCAGCCAATATTGATATTGATGTATATATACAGGTCAGTGGAGGACTGGCTCTTTGACCCATATGGCCCTGATTGGATTTTATTTTTGACAAAATAGCCTAAATCCTAGGGGGATTTACATATGTCACTATGCTGGCGTGGTTTCAATCCCCGGTTGTACGTGACAAGGAGTAGGGTCGTCTGTCCAACCTCGTGGGTTTTCTCTGGGTCCTCTGGTTTCCTCCCACTGCTAAAGACCCTAATCCAACAAGTTAGATGTTCTCTTTGATATTCTGAGGTGTGAACGAAACCTCAAGGCACCCTGGAGTACTAAAGACCCCTACAGTGCCAAAGCGAATGATTGGAATAAAATTGAACCATATGTTAGTCTCGAAATGACCTAGTTTGTGTTGATTTGAAGTTGAACCCCATTTGTCTCTCAATATATCACTATGATTGTCTTGTAGAGAAATATTCTAATTCAACTTTATCTGACCTGATATCAAAACAAGTTCTAAGGCTTTTGAAACTGATTTAATAAAAAAAAATTGACACAAAATACTTGTTTTTGTTCAATGTTTAATACTCACTGGCTGTTGATGTGAAATGAAACAGGGTTTAACGTCCTACTGTTCTGCACCGACTGGGCTAATGAAGACAAGCATGCGCCATACAGTGTGCTATGAGGGATATTTTGTCCAAGCAACGACACTACGGGTCTATTCTTGTTTGGATTCCCAATTGTTCAACCTACTGCAAATCGTATAAACAGGAGTCAAGTTTTCATTCCATCCATAAACTATTGTACAATTGACAACACCTATCCCCTAATTCATGTAGGGAGCCGCGGTGGCTTAGTGAGTAAAAACTAGGTCCCGTGTAGACATTAGCATTACGTAAAAGAAACCTTTGCAGCTGAAATTCGATATAAGAGTAGACCGTAGCGCCACTGTCCGGACAAAATCTCTATCCTAGCACACTGTATGGCGTATGCCCGTCTTCTTACCCCAGTTGGAGAGAGAGAGAAAGAAATGGGGTTTAACGTCCACTCGACACAAACTAGGTCATTTCGGGACTAACATGTGGTTTAATTTTATTTATATAATTCGCTTGCGCGTATCGCTTGCGCGTAGGGGTCTTTAGCAGTGGGAGGAAACCGGAGGACCCGGAGAAAACCCACGAGGTTGGACAGGCGACCCTACTCCTTGCCACGTTGGAGGACAGTTGGACCTTAAACCCTAATTCATTCCAATCCATACTAACTCCACCCGATACTAAGTCCAGTCCATTCCAGTCCATCTAATTTTATAATTCCATCTAATTATTTTATAATTCCATCTAATTTTATAATTCCATCTAATTTTATAATTCCATTCCATAATTCCATCTAATTTTATAATCCCATTCCATCCTTATTGCTCAACAGTATCCTACATGAATATATTACAGTCTGTCAACTTCAGATTTAAATAAGTGGCACATGAACAACGCATATACTTTTGAAAATAAATCCAATGTCAAGCTGCAGTAATCAAGACAGATGCATGCCATGCAGTGTTCTATAAGGTAAATTTTGCCCCGACAGTGGGCTCTGTTAAAGAGTTCTATATATATATATTACATGCACACCAACGTGGCACCTAGAACTTGACATAAATGGGTCTCAACGCATATAATAATGCAATATGAATGTATATAAACTGATTTACATTCTGTTGTTTCTGTTCGTACTGTAATCGGTTATGTTTAGCGAAATACGCCATAAGTCTCAATCGAATGGGTACTGAGTGCAGTCCCGTCAAAAAAAAAAAAAACCTCGCTGAATTACATATTTTTGTGAAAAACATCCCATTGTTTCATGACGTTTTAGTATTGTTTAACGCAATACAATTGGGTAACGTCGTAACAATTTATATTTCCTGTGAATATCGCTACTGGAAAGTCACACGCCGTTTTTCTGAGCGAAAAAGACTTTTTAATATGTTATCTTCATCTTGCCGTGAGGTTAGTCTATCATATAGGATAATACTTTCAAAATTTTCAGCTAATGCTCAATGTTTATTAGACCTATACCTCGATACAATATCTAAAACCAACCCCACCCTTCCACAGCATTAGGACAAACACGAAATTATTCAATAAAGTTTCTGATCAATATTTTGAAAAAAAAGATTAAAGTCGCATTATTTAAGCGCTAAATCTGCCGATTGCAGATCTTTCTTTTGGCCACAAATGTTACATGAAATATTAATTAGACATTTATTCACATGACAAGGCCATAAACAAAGTTCTAGACCATCGGTTGTCATCGGATGGTAGTGAACTTCAACGGACTGAAATACGAGCGCCATTTAATAATTTAATTTAAAAATGGATAATCGAGACTGTGTATTATCGTAACAACGGTAGCAATGAAAATCTAGACTACGCTATTCTTCAAACAGTCTTCTTAACTTCGCTCAGAATAAGTAATTTGACTGAAATTTTAAATACATTTCTTTTATAACTCTTTATATAAATCTTACATATTGTATCCTTAAGATTCAAACTAAGTTAATTCTGTAAAATTGGAAATTGGAGATAATTTTTAAATGTCCGCAAAAGATTGTTGAGTGCGACCGTGCCCTCCTTATCAAGAACAAAAGAATGACGTCATATTCAAAATTCTTAAAAGCATAAAGGACAAAATGTTTCTCAAAATGAATTAAATAAGAGGTTTCAGTAAGAATGATATTACGGTTATGATGATTGTGTAAATAATAATTATATTGCATTACAGCATAATTGTTTTAAAACATTACAAGAACAACTTCAAGATGCAGGAAGTAACAAAGAAATGAAATGAAATGGGGTTTAACGTCCTAATGTTCTGCTTCGACTGGGATAATGAAGACGGAAGTAATGGAGAAAAACCAAAAGGTTTGTTAGCCGCTTCAAGATCGGCATAAGAGGTAAAAGCGGAGTGGAAACGCCCGATATCGTGCTGTGGTCTCAGTGGTCGACAATGATGGCTGAGGCACGGCGTTTGTTTGTGTTAAAAACAAACACCAAGGTTCTGCGATCTGACCTGGAAAGCCGTGAGAATGCGACTTTTTGGGACATTTTCTCGCGTTGTGTTCACGTTTACCGGCGACCATGTGCGTATTCTGGTCGCCGTAGGGTCGCAGCAACGCAGTAATGACGCCACCCTGGTCTGACGGGGGCATAAACTAATACATTTACTTTTGTAGCCCATGCAAAGAATACACAAATTAGCTTTGTTTAATAAAATAAGCCATTACATATTGGTGTATTTGACTGTAAGGGCCGTGCGATATTTCTAAACGATTTATCTGTTATTTATTTCTCTGCAAACTAAGATTTGACTAATTTTGTGTTTTCAGGATTTTATCTCGATTATTTCCATCGCATGAGATTTATTAGGGATAATTTAGACCCCCCCATTCAACTCAAAAACATGGCGAAATGCAGGAAGTCGTCGTGGTATTCCACCAAAGTTACTATAGACACCAAAGTATCACTATAATATAATAGTTAAAAACTAGATAATGTAAAGGGAATCTGAAGAACCAAGAATTAAGCGATTGAAATTTCGACTTAGCCTCGATCAGCATTACTAAAGTCTGAACGATAATAAACATAGTCTCGATCATCCATTTCATGATTAAATTATGAATGGAAGTCGAGCAGCAAATGGGATCATAATCCAGTAAATATCGCAGGCTGGCGATGCCACCGAGAGTTGATTATGGTCTGGATAAGTTAATTAATGTCTAATTAATAATTTAGATAACATTTCAGGCCTAAAGAAAGACCCACAATTGTCAGATTTAGCTCTTGCATAATGTATGTTTGAGCAGATAGGGAGTAGAGTTGGTGTTGGAGATGCCGATGATTTCTCATCTTGATAAGTTGGCCAAATGGTTAGCATGTGTGTGCTGTATCATAATGTCTGTCATTGAGTCAACTGTTGTGGTTTCAATTCCCCGGTTGTACGTGACAAGGAGTAGGGTCGCCTGTCCAACCTCGTAGGTTTTATCCGGGTCCTCCGGTTTCCTCCCACTGCTAAAGACCCCTACGCGCAAGCGAATTATTGAAATAAAATTAAATCATATGTTAGTCCCGGAATGACCTAGTTTGTGTCGAGTTGACGTTAAAAACCATCTCTCTCTCTCTCTCTCTCTCTCTCTCTCTCTCTCTCTCAATAATGGTCACGACCACGGTGTTTGTGATAAGCGGGAAACATATCGATTAAATCACAACTGCTGACAAAACATATCATAGATCAGTATCATAGACGTTGTTCCTATGATACCAGAGCAGATGCTGATGTAAAAACATCGAATTCTACAGCACCACAAAACTCTAATAGATCAGTAGACGAAGCAGTAGAAGAACTGAAAGATGCTGGGAAAAAAAGGAATTCAAAACAGACAAACACCGAATTGTTTATCTGTAACTTTAAATAGTAAGCGCAGGGGCAGAACCACGCACAAACAATTACACAAGACAAACCTACGGACACGACACAATATACAGACATCACAAACAAAACAAATGCACATATTATAAGATTAAGTGAATGGATCCGGGGGCTAGTGGTAAGCGTCCACTGCGTTGTACAGTCCCGGACCTGGAGTGATACAGACTTTCACAATTTTGAATCTACACATACTGAAGATATACAATCCGTCAAAAAAAAAACATTAGGTGGACCTCATTTCCATGCAAAGGTTTAAACTGAGGTTTGGCTGCTGGATTGCCAGTCCATGAAGGATTTCGCATACATGTATGGAAAACGCATCACTTTTTTTCCCAAATATTTTATTACTAGGTGGTTTTGTATGTATAATATTATGCAATACTGTGAACTATTGTTTCACACAATGCTCCCAAACGCAAAAAATATCGGCTCGTGTGCACCAAAAA